AAATAGAAAAAGCTTGTTAACACTCTAGTGGCTGCAGTTTTCATCTAAATATTCTAGAAATTTGTCAAGAAAGTTGTTTTGATGATTTCTAGGTCAAGTTCAAAGATGGGTTATCTCTAGTCAAAAACTAGGTCACAGGAGCTAAAAATAGAAAAGCTTGTAAACACTAGTGGCTGCAGTATTGAGTCAAATTTTCTGGAAATTTGTCAGGAAGGTTAATAATAATAATAATAAAGACTTTATTTAATGAGGCAACATAGTTGGGCATGCCCAGTCTTCCCTATGAGCCTCTATCAAATATACAATGTACATAATATAAACATTTACAAACAAAAGGTATGATAAAACAAGAACAAAATTACAAATACATTGTAGTTAAGAAACATGTAAAATGAAAATCTAGGGAAAAAACATAATATATGAATATAAAAATTGCAATTCAGATATACATTTATCATTTTATAACACAAATGGATGTGTTTTATTCCCACCAGATAACCACCATTTAAGATAATTATTTTTGAAAGACTGTAAATTTGTGGAATTTAAAAAGGAGAGGGCCTAAAACTGAACCTTGAGGCACACCAGATTTTATATGCTGAGCTTCAGAATACTTTCCAGACACACATACTTGTTGTGAGCGATCACTTAGGTATGACCTAAACCATGAAATTGAATTTTCATTTATGTTATACAGTTGTAGTTTTTTCAATAATAGGTTATGATTGATCAAATCAAATGCTTTTGTTAGATCAAGAAATATAGTCCCTATAAGTTTTTCTTCATTTATTACTCTGATCTAGCTGTCAATAATTGAAGTAAGAGCAGTTTCGCATGAATAATTTGTGCGAAAGCCAGACTGATTTGGCTGAAAAAGAGAGTTAGTTTCAAGAAATAACTTAAGATGATTGCTAACATGTCTTTCTAGAACTTTCGATAGGTTGTTTTGATGATTTCTAGGTCGAGTTTGAAGATGGGTCATCTCAGGTCAAAAACTAGATCACAGGAGCTAAAAATAGAAAAAGCTTGTTTACACTCTAGTGGCTGCAGTTTTGATTCAAATATTCTGGAAATTTGTCAGGAAGGTTGTTTTGATGATTTCTGGGTCAAGTGCTAAGATTGGTCATGTCCGGTCAAAAACTAAGTCACAGGAGCTAAAAATAGAAAAATCTTTCTAACACTCTAGTGGCTGCAGTTTTGATCCAAATTTCCTGGAAATTGGTCAGGAAGGTTGTTTTGATGATTTCTAGGTCAAGTTTGAATATGGGTCGTGTCCGGTCAAAAATTAGGTCACATTGCCCAAATATGGAAAAATCTTTATAACACACTAGAGGTCACATGTTTGACTCAGTTGTCATCAAACTTGGCCATGATGCTTGTTTAAGACATTGCTTGGATGCGGGTGTGTCAGGTGAGCAATCCAGGGCCATCATGGCCCTCTTGTTTTATATAAAAGCTGTAGAAGTTAAAATAGAATGAACAAGTGTTGAGTGCCTTGTTAAACAACTAATAAATCTATATAGCGTAATAAATGTAATCGGGTGTCGCCTATGTCTGCAGTAGATTCCATATTTATGTTTCAAATTTGGATGTGGTCCCAACATTGATTTATATGCTTGGCATAATATAGGATCTCACTTATTCGAGGCCAATCATGATTTTTGACATGGCTATGCAAATTTAAAAACATGTGTCCGTGTAATTTGACAAAATAGAATATTTTCAGTTCTACCGCGAACAAATGTTTCAGAGCAGGTGTTTGTAACGTGATTGTTCCTGTCAAAATGTTTTGTTTCTCGAAAAGTTAGACATTCAAGGTGCGGAACAGAGACAAAATTATGCACTGCACAAGACACATTAAAATGGATCACTACTACCATTTAAAGTACGAAAAGTTTATTTTACTATGACTGTCTGTAATCACTTGCTGTAACGTACAGGTCAAACACAAATAAGCCACGTTTTCATGAAATTGAAAGACTTTCGTAAGGTGGGGAATCTCTATGAAAATGGTTGACAAAGTGGATATAACACATGTTTCAAGATACGTACTCTCTTGTTTAGCATTGTTGTTTAGTTTATTATTATTCTCTCAAAGTGTAAATAGAACAGTGTACTTTTATCATCAAGCAATGCATATACTCAGTACGAATCTTGTTTTAAGATAAAAGAAGTATCTGTAAAATTTTGTTAGTTTATTCACAGAATATGTATGAACCAAATGAACAAATTAAAAAGGCAGCACTCGGTGTACGATCTAAAACTACCAATAATAAATAGACCTAGCTATAGTAGAAATAAATTATTATTATATTATCATATTTCTCCTGCTTCACATTTTAGTACGTCTTAAGTTTAACTTTGAAAGCTTTTATTTTTAGAAATTAATAGACAAAGCTCTTTACGCCAACTAAATATCGCCTTGCGCTCATCAACCGACATTGCTCATCTCTTGCCCTTTGGCTCCACTACTTTTGAAAAAAAATAGATATAAAAATTTTAGAAATCCACCAGGAGAAGTTTATTTTGCACGAAAGACCAGTTCTTGTTACGGGTTGATATTTTTCTAAAACATTTTTTTCAAGAAATCCAAAGTGTAGGGCTTTTCCATTCTTGGAAGTTTGATCCTTAACAAATCATCTTTCTCTTTGTCAGGGGGAAAAGTTCTCCCAGCTTTAATATAATTTTCTTTTTGTAACAGAAGCTTCACAGAACTACATTTTTCGTTTTTCGAAAAAAATACAACTTAAATGAATTACAAGTCAAAAACATAAACTTTACTTACAATTAGCAGTTTAAATTAGCCTTCTGCTCAATCTTGGAAATGCCGTTCGCTCGTTTTTCTGTACACCACAATTTTGAAGTGGAGCGACAGTGAGTTTGCCGGGCGTGACTTTTGTGGAAATGTATTGTCGTCACTATTTTGGCTACAAATATGCAATCTGCAGTTTACAAAAGGTTTTAACACTGAAAAGATTCAGTGCCTTTAACTTTGGTTTGTGTTAACATTGAAGTTGGTTTTAAGGGCTATGAACTTAAAATGAAAATATAGTTTGTGCAAACAAATTTGGAACTTAATATTATATTAGGGGCATCCGTGGCGTGACAACACATTTCTAGTTCAAACATAACAGAAATGATCAGGACCAAGTCTAGTTGTGCATATTGTTGGCATTTTCCGGTTCAAGGATTTATCAGATTAACTTAACTGTCAAGGTCAAATGATTGAATCTTCAGTGTTTGACACTAACACAGTCTAATGAACTAAAAAAATTAGCAACGGAATTTTGAAGTGGCAGGGTGTTCCATGGGAACTTTTAATTTAAAAAGAAAAAAGCTAAGTAATCGTTTGTTTGTTTCATTTTACGCCTTTTCCCAACAGTATTTCAGTCATATAGGCGGGTAGTTTCCTAACCATCTAAGTAATTAAAATTGATCATCAATCAACTTTAAACTTTTCATTTAAAATGATAATCTCATTAAACATGTCAAAAGAGCAAACAAGAAATAAAATATTTTTTACATAACACGAAAAAAATTCCACATTAACAACAATGTCAGCATTTTTTGATATTTTGCCATATCTTTTAACCACCACAGTAAAAATTATTTGTTTTATATGATATTGTTTAAAATTTTATATTTACTTTGCCGTCTGTCTGTCTGTCAGACCGTACAAACACAAAGGTACTTGTGTGACTAGGAGAATATCATGTAACAGTACATCTTCATAATTGTAATTCATTCCATTTTACTTTGTAGCTCTTTTTAGAGCTTGTGCGACTAAAAATGGCTAAAAAGATCAAAGGTAAAGTCAAATAAGTACCATTTTGTAAGTACGTCCATCAGATAGTCCATGTGTCTGTCCGTCCACATTAAGCTTGTCCGGCTTTCACAGGTCAAACTGCTGATGTGATTTCAAACAAACTTTACATTGGTGATCAGTACCATCCCTAGTTGTGCATATCACCTACATTTTTCGTTTCACTGCACAAAATGGCAGTCAGAGCTAAAAACAGAAAAAAATCTAGTCTGGGTTTTGGAGGTCAAACTGCTGGTGCGATTTCAACCAAACTTCACAGGAATGATCAGTACCATCTCTCTACATATCGCTGGCACTTTCCGCGTTGCTTGAGAAAAGAGCTGCCAGAGCTAAAGATAGAAAAATTTTGTCCAGCTTTCACAGGTCAATCTCCTGGCGGGATTTCAATGAAACTTCACAAGAGAGATCACTTAGACTATCCCTAGTTGTGCACATTGCTGTTTGATGCACACAATGGCCGCCTGAGCTTAAAATTGAAAAAGCTTGTCCGGATACACTGCTGGCCTGATTTCAGTGAAACTTCACAGGAGTGATCTTTACATAGCTTGTGCATATTGGGTACAGGTTCTGCTTCGCTGCACAAAATGGCCCCAAGAACCTTAAATAAAAAATTCTTCTCTGGCTTTCACAGGCCAAACTTGTGATGGAATTTCAACAAAACTTCAAAGGAGTAATCAGTTCCTTACCTAGTTTAGGGAGACATATGTTTTTTTTGTATCAAAAAACCCTTCTAGTGCTTCCGTTATTTAACTAGTCAAGCATGACAGGTATTCTTAAAATGTTTATTGTCTAAATATTTTAAAACAAAGGGCGTTTAAGGAAGTTTTCATATAGACATACAGGCAAAATTGAAATTGTTCAATGGAATTTCTTTAAACTTGGCATGTTGTTAGAATATGATATCAGAAACATTTTAAGTGGAAAAAAATCTGAGGTCACCATTCACATTTTCGAGTTATGAAAACTCCCAAAAATATTCTGAAACAAGAATAGATAAAGATATCTTGTTACCAGTTTTAAAAATGCATCTTCCAGAAAGGTTAAAGTTTTTTTTTAAAAAAAATAAGGTAAATTTAGGGAATAGAGCACATTTCATTCATATCTATAATTTTTGTTTTTTACAAAGGTCATGTTAAATATCGATAATTACATTAAATTTCGTTTTGTTATGTTTCAGATGGTCCAGATGCAGACACTACAAGACTGAGCCCACCAAATACACAATACACCCTAAATGAAGGTGTTACATTGCCTGATATAACATGTAGTGGTGAATGTTACCCACGTTGTAATTATGAATGGTTAAAGTCAGGTACAACAGTAAACAACCGTGCCGTGCTATCCCTTGGTCAATTATTCAAAACAGATGCTAGCATATATACATGTGAAGTTACAAATTCCAATTCAACAACAATCAGTGAAATAAGGAAACAAGTTACAGTAAATGTAATTTGTAAGTATAATAATGTTAATATATTTATACTGTAATAATAAATCTTTTGGTAAATTATAACGAATTTGTAGCTCATTTTTAAAATTGTGTACAATAAAAAACTGATGAACAGGTTTTTGTAAGTATGATAATTTATTTATATCTCTTTCTGTAATGATATAATCTTATTATAAATTCAGTAGACTTGTACCTCTGATTTGACAGTTTTCTGCATCCAGGCTTTGTTTAAATATATGCATGCAAATTATCAATTCATTTTCTTTGCCAAGTTATTAAGACAAGGTCTGTTCTATTCATGTTTGTGACGTTTAATAAACTTTCCTTTACTCCAATGATCCAATGCAATTCTGGACATTTAAGCAAACCTTATTTGCAGGGATGTTTTGAGTGACATTTATTTCTTCGATATTGACACTTTTACTGAAGTCTTGGCATTTAGTATCACAGTTGTTTATTAGTCCCCTACCAGTTTAAACAGCGGGTACTTTAGGTTTGCTCTCCATCCCTCTGTCTGCCAAGCAGTCCATCCACTCAAAAGACTGGATACTGTTATTGAAAAATACTGAAAATATTTTTTATGAAACTTGAAATTCAGATATATGGCAGTATGGAGAAAACATTTTAGCTTGGCTATACAAAGTATATGGAGAGCTGTCCTACTCATCTTGACATCGGCGTCTGTTACTGTGTCCTTGTCCAGATTTCGGTTTTGGTGCAGTAAAATATTTTTTACTTAAACCTTAAAAAAGTGACAGGGTGAGCTTTTGTGATTGTTTTTTGTCCGGCGTCCGGCCGTCGTCCGTAAACTTTTACTTTAAATGACATCTCCTCATAAACCACTAAAGCAATTTCATCCAAACTTCACAGGACTGTTTCTTTTGGCGGTCACCTTTAAAAATTGTTCAAAGAATTTAATTCCATGCAGAACTCTGGTTGCCATGGCAACCAAAAGAAAAAAACTTTAAATATCTTCTTTAAAAAAAATCAAAGAGCTAGAGCGTAGTTATTTGGCATGAGTGTCTACCAACTTTTTTCAAATGAAATCCCTGGGGTCAAAATTGGCCCCGCACCAGGGGATCATTAATTTTTTAAGTTTGTTCAAATAAAGCCCTGGGGTCAAAATAAGGCCCACCCAGGCGGTCATTGTTTTTCCCTTTATGTATATAGTTAAAACTTAAAAAATCTTCTTTTAAAAAACCTTAAGAGCTAGAGCTAAGATATTTAGCATGAAACATCTTCTAATGAGTGTCTACCATTTTGTTCAAATAAGGGTCCTGGGGTTAAAATTGGCCCCGCCCCTGGGATCATGGATTTTCCTTATATGTATATAGTAAAAACTTAAAAATCTTCTCTTAAAAAACACAAAAAGCTAGAGTTTAGATATCAAGCATGACTTATCTTCTAGTGAGTGTCTACCAAGTTTGTTCAAATAAAAGCCCTGGGGACAAAATTGGCCCGCCCAGAGGGGGGTCATTGTTTTTCCCTATATGTGTATAGTAGAAAGTAAAAAAATCTTCTTAGAGCTAGAGCTTAAATATTTATCAGGAAACATCATCAAATGGGTGTCTACGAAGTTTTTTCAAATAAAAGCCCTTGGGTTAAAATTGGCCCCGCCCTGGGGACCTATATACAGGTGAGTGATTTCAGGGCCATCATGGCCCTTTTGTTTATTTCTTGAGGTATTAACTTCAAACTTCAAGTATATGTTCCTTATCATCAACCTTATCTTATGTGACAAGGTTCATACCTTAATATGCAATATTTTTAGAATTATCTCCCCTTGAATTTAGAATTTTCCTTGAAAATGTTATTTTTTGGGGGGTGCAAGCCCAAGCAAGAGCCAAAGAAAATCTTGTCCGTGACATAGCTCTAAAACTCTAAGAAATATCAACATGAAACTTTGTAGGTAGATTTATCTCAATGGGTAGATTGCATTGCACAAGAACCGTAACTATTCCTTGCTTAATTTTGAAGTTAACACCCTTTGTTCTTTTTTACACTTTGAACTTGTCTGGGACATAACTTTGAAACTATAAGAATGCAAAATGCAAATATGTTTAGTTATTATCATAAAAGGAGACTATAGGTATTTATTTTTGTAATCATATTTTTTACACATAAAGATTGGATGTTAATAATAAATTTAATGCATAGAAAACCTTTGGTAATTATGTAGAATTGGTGAATACTGTTGCAACAAACACTTTTTCCAACAAAAATTTTGACTTAGTTTGTTTAAATATCAGACCCATCTCATCTGACATTCAATTTTACCTATTGTGCAATGAGATACATATATGTTTTGATTGATTAACCCATTACGCAATATACACGCCTTTTAATGCCTTTTTCACCTCCCCCCTTTTCTGTTGTCTCAAATGGCGAAAAAATGCCTCATTTAGGCCCCTAACACTTGTTTTTGTTTGAGAAATGTTGCTTAAAAAAGTAACCACTTTTTCGGCTCGGTCCCCAACCAAAAGATACATCAGGGGTTGCTAGAAAAGGGATGTGCCCCCTTCTGTTTGGGGGTTTGAAGGGGGCGGTAGTCTCCCTCATCGCCAAGAAAATTTTGGACTTGTGAGAGGCTAGAAATGACCCCAGATCGATCATAAGGTAGCATGTAACCAACGCTGAAAAGCATTTGACTCTATCTCAATCCATTGAGAAATTGCAGCACTTTAAAATCAATTTTGATGGAAAAAAATCAACGCAAAATAGTGATTTTTGGCAATTTTGAGATGTTCCCTCGTTGCTATGGTAACAGGAAATTTAAGCCTGAGCATGTTGTTGCAAAGGCAATGGTCCAGTAAACATTTGTACTAGTTTGATTAGTATTGAGGCAGTTTTTTTAGTTTTATATCAAATTGAACTTGTAACGGGAGACTTTTCAATGAAAACAGCCATTTTTCACAAAATGCTCATGAAGTAATGGGTTAATGAAGTAATTTGACTCGGAAGATGATAGGTGCAAGGATGATAAAAATGTATCTTTAAAAACCTAAAGACACCAAGACAGTTAGGTAAGTAAGGCAAGTATGAAATTAATTATGATCTTATGACTATAAAATATGATGAACTCTTGAAATATATAAGCGTTATAGGGAAATGCTTTATAACATTGGTTTTCTAGTTCATGGAAGATTAAATAGGCAGATGTCAATGGACATAGTTTTGAAAAGGATTACAAAATAAGTGTAAAATATTTTCCTTCATTAAGAAATGATTATAGAAATGGCATTGTAGGTAAATGATATATATACCAAGAGTTACTGCAGATGATAAAATGATTAATTTGTCCTTATGCTTTGAAATACATTGGAGTTTTAGTAGAAACTTCCTGCTAATATTTGAACTTATTTTTGTACACTGATGTACTCAGTCACCCATTTCAGATGGTCCAGATGCCAGTACAACAAGCCTTACACCTACTACTACATCTTACACTAGTAATGAAGGATCATCTCTTGATACTATACGCTGTTCTGGTAATTGTTATCCTGCCTGTAATTATAAATGGACTAAAACAGGAAACAATAGATTTACACCTGTCAATAATGGCAATTTATCACTTGGTTCCCTTCAACGAGATGAAGCTGGTACCTATACCTGTACTGTTATTAATCCTACAAGTAAACGAGAACAAACAAAAACTGTATCCATCTATGTTATATGTAAGTATGATATATATTGTATGGAGTCTATAATGGTAACAAACAACATTTCTGAACAAGAGTGATCAAAGTACAAATTCTACATTACTGAGTTACTAATGTTTAGAAAAAGAGATTTGTCTTGTGTTGAGAAAAATATAAAAAGCAACTTAAATAAAGTTAAATTTATTTCTGACTTTGTAGGGTATCCTTTAAGGTGTATTTACCATGCTCTCAAAAAGAATTTTGATGACTCAAACAGAATTTACAGCTAATTATTTTTGTCACCCCATATGAAATGAAAATTCTTTTAAATCACTCAGGAGTGCTGTACCACTGGTAATTGTGAAATTTAACAGGCCAATTAAAAACTTTTGGAGAGCACTTATTTTACTATTCGAAAGAAAAAGGAATACCAAATAAATTTAAATGTCAATTTTTTTTGTACGGGCATACATTGTGATTCAGCTTATATCAAAGCATAAATCTTTTATACATGTCAAATAGATCAATAAAATATATAATGTTGGATGAATTGGCCACTTTAATTACAAGTTGAGGTATCTCTCCTGATTCCTATATACATGTACCTAATGCAGCGTAACAGCAAGAAAGCCAGACGTGTTACGCTAATATTTAATTTCAAGCTTTAATTAGTTAAAAACATATGTGCCAGAAAAAACTGTATACTGAAACCATTTAACATAGGCTACCGGGTTTCCAGAACCGAATGCAAAAAAGTTTACCGGCTAATGCAATAAATGGAAAACTATTTTAATACAGGCAAATTACAGGCATAGACATCACATGTGCATCTCTCTGTCACAACGACGGTGCCAGTAGCCAAGATAACGGATGGAAAAGCCATTCCTCGGTAACCAGACAATACTCCCATCCATCAAATTAGCCACTGCAAAGGGGGAAGCAGCTCATTGCTTGACACCAGGTCGAAAAACAATACCAACACACTACCACTGAACAAACTGCAATAACGGTGCCAATGGTTGTCTGTCAGCCAACAAACTCAATGGGTATCCGATCACGAAAGCTGACTTCAAAACCAGCCACTACAAGAGGCCAATGGGTATAATGCAAATCAAAGCAACAAATTTCACTCAACACTGGGTAGAATCATTTAGCTTGAGTTGTTTTACAATGCAAACCTGATGTATCATAGAGACAGTGCTGCAGTGATGATCACAGACACCAATGGGTATCCATTAACATCAATGACCACCAGGGTAGCAAGTATAATGGGAAAGCCTTACACCATAATGAACTCGGGCTAGCAAAGCAACTGTGGTTTCACCAAGTACTGTGGGCAAAACACACTCGACCCAGTCCATAACATGAACTGAAGTGCCCAATAATGATAGTCTCAACACGCCTCATAAACAGAAACGATTGAGATCTACCACCATAGACACTGCATAAGGATGGTGCAAACATTGTAAAGTACATTGGTCGATTTAGCAACATAACATTATGCAATACCGATTCAACCCCGAAATCAGGGGAATCGACTTGACCTGGAAATGCGCTCATGTGATTATTTTTTTATATATATATAAATACACCAGCGCAAGTGTTCGTCATTCCATAGCAGCGGCTTGTCACCGGGTACCCAGGTAAAAACAGCTGCCACTAAATGAGCCACTGCGTTAAACAATGTAACACTGCCTGTTTCTACTAAGTACATTATGCCAAAATCTCTCAAATTACAGCTGGTAACCGACACGTCTGATTTCCTTATAACGATGACTTCTAACCCAGTTACCTCTCTGGCGTGGGTTCGATCCCCGGAGATGCTTTGGTAGTTTAGCGCGGAGGAAGGTAGTCTAGTACTGGTGTAACTCTCCAGGAACGATGGTTAGGAAACTACCCGCCTATATGACTGAAATACTGTTGGGAAAAGGCGTAAAATGAAACAAACAAACAAACAAAATCCTTATAACAATAACAAAAAAGTGACTAAAAAGTAATATTAAAGCAATTATTTGTACCTTATGAAATCCCTATTAAGTATCTTTGAAGAACGCATACATTCGTGAATCACACAGTAATGTAATTTTAATGTCAACAGAAAACAATAACAATTGTAAAGAATACAGACACTGAGGCACATAATTATAAATTTCAGCTGTTTTTCAAAAATTTAGAAATATATGTCACGACATCAAGTCCAACAAGTGCTGAAGGCAAATGCAAAATTATTTTCAAGTCCATGATAAATTGCCAAATTTTTCGACACAGCTCGTAACATATGTTGTATATGATGTAGTGTAGTTGAATCAAGATAGAGCATACTCCGATTTGCGTGCAGTGTTCATACTAAAATGTCCACTACATATCTACAACATAAAAATATGAAGAAACAGTCAATGTGCTTTTTAAAAGGTTAACTGTACTGAATTAACATTCAAAATATCTTATAAAAGGCCTGGCTATTAGAAACTTGGTTTGGGGTGTGCTCGGAGGGTAGAATTCTCGTACAATATAGAGGAGGAGATTATCTCAGCTGCCAATTTTCTTATTTGGCTGTTCTTTTTTACTTCCAACTATTGCTAACGTACAAAGAAAAGAAAGAGTTAAAAGCTTTGATTTTCAGAAAAATTATCAATTTGTGTTGAAATCAAATGGAAAGGAAAAAAGTGTGTGCTGAATTTGAAAAATCAAAAAATTAATTCAGGTGACATTTTTTGAGAAGCTTTCCTGAATAATGTTTAACATAACTGTGCATTTATATGAATTTGTTGAATTTGTCTGCATCATACATGTATTAAGTTACTTACTTTGGTATAACATATTTCTGGTTTCAGTTGGTCCTGATGCCAGTACAACAAGCCTTACACCTAGTACTACATCTTACACTCGTAATGAAGAATCATCTCTTGATACTATACGTTGTTCTGGTGATTGTTACCCTACCTGTAATTATAAATGGACTAAAACGGGAAACATAAGATTTACACCTGTCAATAATGGCAATTTATCACTTGGTTCCCTTCAACGAGATGAAGCTGGTACCTATACCTGTACCGTTAGTAATCCTACAAGTAAACAAGAACAAACAAAAACTGTATCCATCTATGTTATATGTAAGTAATAATTATGTTAATATGATATATGATATTTCTTTGTCAGTTGCTTTAATTCTTAGACAGTAAATCTTTTGTTTAGTTTGTGTTACATGTCAATATAAAACATGTTTTGGACTAATATCAGTTCTACCTTACAAAGTAAATACTTTATTCTATTGCAATGACCAAATATAAATATTTTGTTAAAACTAAGAATAGCGTGTCAATATCTGTGAAGGCTTCTGGCTTGCAACCATTCATATCCGTGGGTTATATCCTTCCAGAGACTTAGATTCTTTCCATGTGAGAAAGACACCCAGATAACTTTCGTTTAGTAAGGTTAGTTGTTTTACTTTAGTACCTGAAATAATGAAAGGACATCTAAGACTTTCCTCTGCAACATAATTTTAAAAGTTGCCATATGACCTTCACAATATCATTGTTATTTGAAACTAAAACAATACCAGTAATGATGTAGTATTTTAACATTATAATTGCTTTTTTTGTGAAAAACTCAGAATATGCCCATTTTGAGTCCAATCAGAATATTGATTGTTAATTAGAACTAAAACATAGGTCATTAGATCAAGTCAGCCATATGATGTACCATATGCTGTTTCATACACAGTTTGGCATACAACTTAAAGGTCATTCAATATATAATAAAAATCATCTTCTAATTTATAAATTAAACAAACGACCACTTTAAAATTGTCATGTAGTTGCTCAAATCAAATTAAAATACAACTAGTTTGTGACATCATGCAACATGATGTTAAATGACATCATCATAACACTGTGCTACATGTCACTTTTAGCAGTCATGGCTGCGATAATGTCTTAAGGTCATCATAGCTACATCGAAATTGAATAACAATGTAATTAAACAGCAAAATATATTTAACGCTTTTCAAGAAGATTGCGGCACATCATTCTGCTCTATCGTATCTTCAACATACAAGATGGGTGAATGCGTTCAATGTCAGAAAGTGCTTTATTAAAGATGCCCACCGAGCCGGTAGAAATGTGAAGGCTACTGACAATTATCTTACTGTACAGTTAAAAAGTTTGTTGAAAACTGATTGAAGAATTACGTCACATAACCTACTTTTTTACATTGGCTCAATACACTCCTGCACTGTGGTTTATGTGATAAATACCATATCACATTATTTAATATATACATGTATATTTGATATCAACAATGTTAAATGAATATTTTGTTTTTTCAGGGCTTGTCTAACATTTTAGTTACAGAATACGAGGTCATGGCCCTCTATTAAACAAAAGAAAATAACAATAGAAATGGCCCTTTATCCACTATTTGGTCAGATGTCCGTTCGTCCGTTCTCCGTCCATCTGTTTTCATTTTGTGTCGCATGTAGCTCAAAAAGTATTCTCTAATTTTGTTCTAGATTATAGTCTCCACAAAATATTAGATGGTAGATATTACCAGTATTTCTAGAGTTATTGCCCTTGACAGTGAAAAATTTGCAATTTTCAACTTGTGTCACACGTAGCTTAAAATGTATTTGACATAGGGTCATGAAACTTTACAGGAATGTTGATCAGCATTGGAAGTTGTGCACCCTGGGTTTCATTTGTGAATTTATATGTTTGTCAGAGTTATTGCCCTTCAAGGCTTGACTTAGTTAAAATTTGCAATTTGTGTTGTTCGTAGAAATGTATTTAACCTAAACTCATGAAACTTAGTAGGAATGTTGGTCAGCATGCGTAGTTGTGCACCTTGGATTTCGCTTGTGGATTTATCCAGTATTTGTAGAGTTATTGCCCTTGACTTAATAAAAAAACGTTTCATTATGTTGTGTTATTAATTCCTTGATTGCTTGTGTTAGAATGAACCGACTTTACAGGAATAATGATCAACATCACCGTGGAAGCTATGCACCTGAGATTTTGTATGTGGATTTTTTCAGTTTTGTTAAGAGTTATTGCCCTTGACTTAGTATAAATTTGCTATTGAACTTGTTCATGCATAGCTCAAAAAGTATTTGACCTGTATGCCTGCAAGTTTACAAGAATGTTGGTAAGCATGTGTACGTATGCACCTTGGGGTTCGCTTGTGGATTTATTCAATATTTGTAAAAGTCTTTCCCTTTACCTAGTAAAAGATTTTTAGTTTTCAACTTTTAGCACATGTAGCCCAAAAAGTATTTGACCTTCCGTAGAGTCATAAGATTGACAAAACAGTGGAGTGTAGGGGCAACCGTGGACACATTTCTAGTTTTATCTTTATAATCAACAATATTCAGACTTTCCAAGTTTAAATTGTTAAATATCAGCTGTGACACACGATATTGAAGCGTAGACATTTTTAGTTATAGTTTGGCATGATTTATATGTTCTCTTCATATAATGAAAATAATTATATACAGTTATTCATGTATCAAGTGAATAATTATTATTATTTCCCTTGCATTTTCTGTTCGATATTTGCATGCTCCGATATTTGCATGCTCTTAGTTATTATTTTTTCTGTTATTTATTAGATTTAAAATAGTTGTTTATTCAAAAGTTACAATATGACTTACAAATTTACATTTAATGTTTTTGAATTGTATTAACCCTTTTTCTATTTTATTTAATAAATTGGAGTTTTAAGTTTTAGACATGTCTTACATTAGATTTTATGATAACATTGTTTGAACCTGTATAAATGCAGTTCTTATTTTAACCAATAATTATCATTTATCTTACAGATGGTCCTGATGCAGATTCTTTGAAATTAAATCCATCCCAATCATCATACACAGAAAACAAGGGGACATCACTCAATGACATCACGTGTTCAGCTGCTTGCTATCCTAATTGTATTTACACATGGACAAAGTTTGGTTCCCAGTTCATTGAGAGTGACATATTATCTCTTGGTACTTTGGACAAGGATAAAGCAGCTACTTACACATGTACAGCTTACAACCCAACAACAAAACATAATATATCTACAAGTGTTATTGTACATGTTAGATGTAAGTAGTCTTTATATTTCATATAGCAAGGGTTTAGAATTAGGTAAGAGATACATGTATTAAGGTAAAGAAAACTTCTTTGGTCAGATTGAAATTAATACATTTTCAAATGTATATACCAGCTATTTCATTATAACTTTTTTCTTCACCTACTTAAATTGCATTGGTAACAAATTGTCTTGTGTGTGTTTGCGTTCAGGTAAATAACTATAATGAGACACATTGCTTTGTGCAAGAATCATGCTGTGTTCCTTGGTCGTATGAAGGTTGCGTTCATTGAACGCCGCCTTTCCTTGTTGTTGATCCTGTTTATCATATTTTACATTTAACTGTCTAGGTCATCACAAAGTTGCTTTTGTATCTCTTATAATGCTCTTATAATGAAATAAGAGAATCAAATACAATTTGATAAAATAGTATATACAGATGAAAATTGAAATACATTTTAGTGTTCCTTTGACAAATTTCAAAAACATTATGCCTGACATTACATAAAATAGGCGTGAGAGTTAAAATGTTGTACATACTTTATGTGTTTTCCTATAAATAGGTTGAAAAGATGTTTGCATTAATACTTGTATGGATAAATATGTATTTTATGGATTGGGTGTCTAAGCCATCATCAACATTAATAATGGAATTCCAGATGTCTAAGAGTTACATAGAAAAATAATACATGTATATCCCATACATTTGTTGAATATATTCAATTGTTGTCTTTCATCAAAGTAGTTTTTGTTTTAGTGCTATTAACACATTTTTATTTCATGTTTATTTGTAGTTGGACCTACAGAATGTAGATTGAATGTAACTTCTCAATACAACTTAACAGAAGGAAGATCCTCATCGGAAATGACTTGTCAAGCAGAATGTTACCCTGAGTGTACATATTTATGGACTAATATGTCTTCAAGCAGTTCAGTTGGTACAAATGGAAAATTTCAGCTGATTAATTCAAAAAGATATGAAGCTGGGACGTACAAATGTCTTTGTGAAAATAAACCTTTAGTCAAAAGACAGTCATCATTTGTGGTCATTACAATTCATTGTGAGTACAGTTTTTATTAGCTCACCTGTCACAAAGTGACAGGGTGAGCTTTTGTGATCGCTTTTCGTCCGGCGTCCGTCCGTCCGTCGTCCGTCCGTAAACTTTTACTTTAAATGACATCTCCTCATAAACCACTAAGTCAATTTCATCCAAACTTCACAGGAATGTTCCTATGGTGGTCACCTTTAAAAATTGTTCAAAGAATTTAATTCCATGCAGAACTCTGGTTGCCATGGCAACCGAAAGAAAAAACTTTAAATATCTTCTTTTAAAAAACCCAAAGAGCTAGAGCTTAGATATTTAGCATGAAACATCATCTAGTGAGTGTCTACCAAGTTTGTTCAAATAAAAGCCATGGCGTCAAAATTGGCCCCGCCCTAGGGGGTCATTGATTTTCCCTATATGCATATAGTAAAAACTTAAAAAATCTTCTTTGATAGAACCCATAGAGCTAGAGCTAAGATATTTAGCATGAAACATCTTCTAATGGGTGTCTACCAAGTTTGTTCAAATAAAAGCCCTGGGGTCAAAATTGGCCCAGCCCCAGGGGGTCATTGATTTTCCCTATATGCATATAGTAAAAACTTAAAAAATCTTCTTTTAAAGAACCCAAAGAGCTAGAGCTAAGATATTTAGCATGAAACATGTTCTAATGGGTGTCTACAAAGTTAGTTCAAATAAAAGCCCTGGGGTCAAAATTGGCCCCGCCCCGGGGGTTATTGATTTTCCTTATATGTGTATAGCAAAAACTTAAAAATCTTCTTTGAAAAAACCCATATAGCTAGAGTTTAGATATTAAGCATGAAACATCTTCTAGTGAGTGTCTACAACGTTTGTTCAAATAAAAGCCCTGGGGTCAAAATTGGCCCCGCCCCAGGGGGTCATTGATTTTCCCTATATGCATATAGTAAAAACTTAAAAAATCTTCTTTTAAAGAACCCAAAGAGCTAGAGCTAAGATATTTAGCATGAAACATGTTCTAATGGGTGTCTACAAAGTTAGTTCAAATAAAAGCACTGGGGTCAAAATTGGCCCCGCCCCGGGGGTCATTGATTTTCCTTATATATGTATAGCAAAAACTATAAAAATCTTCTTTGAAAAAACCCAAATAGCTAGAGGTTAGATATTAAGCATGAAACATCTTCTAGTGAGTGTCTACCAAGTTTGTTCAAATAAAAGCCCTGGGGTCAAAATTGGCCCCGCCCCAGGGGGTCATTGATTTTCCCTATATGCATATAGTAAAAACTTAAAAAATCTTCTTTTAAAGAACCCAAAGAGCTAGAGCTAAGTTATTTAGAATGAAACATGTTCTAATGGGTATCTACAAAGTTTGTTCAAATAAAAGCCCTGGGGTTAAAACTGGCCCCGCCCCAGAGGTGTCATTGTTTTTAACTATATGTGTATAAAAACTTAAAAATCTTCTTTTAAAAAACCCAATGAGCTAGAGGTTAGATTTTAAGCGAAAACATCTTTTTGTTGGTGTCTACCAAGTTTGTCCAAATAAAAGCCCTTGGGTTTAAATTGGTCCTGCCAAGGGGGGGGGGGGGCGGAGGTAATTGTTTTTCATTATATGTGTGTAGTAAAAACTTAACATCATGAAACACATCTTCTAATGGGTGTCTTCCAAGTTTTCTCAAATAAAAGCCCTGGGGTTTAAACTGGCCCCGGTCCGGGGGCCTATATACAGGTGAGCGACCTCAAGGCCATCATGGCCCTCTTGTTTCAGTTGGTAGAGAAAAAAAATATAGGGATAGGCAAATTGACTGAGTATCAACTATTGTTTGAAACAGTATTTTCCTGAAACCAAATTAAATGAAACATGCTGACATTTGAAGCTATAATAAAATTGTTTTAGTTTAAGCTATTGCATCATAGCATATCTTTGTCACAGAAACTAAAAGAAATTTTGAAACTGGCATGGCCAGCTCTTAAACTGTAGAATATTCAGGATACTATGAGTCAAATGTCTATCTGTGTGATACAGTCATATACAGTGCTGTGTTTCAGTCCCCAGGTCAAATTTGAAGGTCAAATGTTTGAGACAGAAGTTACATATCAACCTTAATGCTTTCTAACAGCATGAGGGACATCAATTTAAAATGCATGATCTGTATCTTAATAATATGACAAAAAGAGAAATTACTTTTCTGGAGCCCTGATTCAAGGTCAACATGAACGATTCCATCCACTTCTGGATGTAATTGATATTTGATAAGATTTTGTAAGGGTTTGTACCGAATCTGCTTGTTGATCTGTTCACATGTTAAATTGGCTATAGTAAATTATCTTTGATGGTATTCATTCAGTAAGGTTTTTATTTGGCTAAAAATTGTTTATGTTGCTAAAAGCAAAATTAAGAGAGCCGTGGGTTAGCCAATGAAGAACCTATATGTTAGAATGTCAGTCTGTGGGCCATGTTCTGTTTAACTATGGGTTATACAAAAATATCTGTGATATCAACTTGAAACATTATAATATGAATATAAATACAATATAGATGTATTTCATTGACAAGTGCAAAGTTTAAAAACCATATATAATCTTTTGCATGAATTTGGTGTATTTGCACTTGAAAAATGCTCATGCTTAATTTTCATTGTGGCATATAAAGTAAATATATAGAACATTTACTCATACATATTTGTGTTGTATAACAAGTGCTACATTATGACTTGGAAATTAATATTTATCACAAAAATGTCTATTTTTATCCTCTTTTATGATAACCATGCCAACCTGAACATAGTGGTCATGTGTCTATGGCTGTCTTTTTAACTCAGTTTCCTTGCTGACTGCTGTAGACAGGTTAGCTTGTATTATGATGTATGCTGACTTAGTTTTGAAACAAAATGTGTATGGTATTTTCATATTACCCCCAAAAACGAAGTTTTGGGGGGTATATAGGAGTCACCCGATGGTCGGTCGGTTGGTTGGTTGGTCAGTCGGTCCAGCGGTCCGTTGCATTTTCGTTGTTCGGAGCATAACTTGAAGACTAATGGTTGGAATTCAATATAACTTCATACAATGGTCAAGCACATTAAGAGAAAGTGCAGTGTACAAGAACCATAACTCCATTTTGACTAATTACAGAGTTACTGCCCTTTGTTACTTTTCCTTGTCCGGTCATAACTTGAAAACTACTGGTTGAAACTCTAAAACAACTTCATACAATTGTGAAGCACAATAAGGGGAAGTGCATTGCACAAGAACCATAACTCTATCTAAAGTAATTACAGAGTTATTGCCCTTTGTTACTTTTCGATTGCTTTCTTTTGTCCGGATTCAAACATGAAGACTAATTGTTGTAATTCAATATAACTTCATTCAATGGTCAAGCACATTGAGAGGAAGTGCAGTGTACAAGAACCATAACTCCATTTTGACTAATTACAGAGTTACTGCCCTTCGTTACTTTTCCTTGTCCGGAGCATAACTTGAAAACTACTGGTTGGAATTCGAAACAACTTTATACAATGGCCAAGCACAATAAGGGGAAGTGCAGTGCACAAGAACCATAACTCCATTTTGACTAATTACAGAGTTATTGCCCTTTGTTACTTTTCGATTGCTTTTTTTGTCCGGAGCATAACTTGAAGACTACTAGTTGGAATTCAATATAACTTCATACGATGGTCAAGCACATTGAGTGGAAGTGCAGTGCATGAGAACTAAAACTCCATCTTGACTAATGACAGAGTTATTGCCCTTTGTTACTTTTCCTTGTCTGGAGCATAACTTTAAAATTACCGGTTGGAATTCAATACAACTTCATGGAGTTGTCAAGCGCATTAAGAGAAAATGCAGTGCACAAGAATTATAACTCCATTTTGACAAATTACAGAGTTATTGCCCTTTGATACTTTTCCTTGTCTGGAGCATTACTTACAACATACTGGTTGGAATTTAAAACAACTCCATACAATGGTCCAGCACAATAAGAGGAGGTGCAGTGCACAAGAACCATAACTCCATTTTGACTAATTACAGAGTTACTGCCCTTTGTTACTTTTCCTTGTCCAGAGCATAACTTGAAAACTACTGGTTGGAATTCAAAACAACTTTATACAATGGTCAAGCACAAGAACTATAACTCTGTCCAGAGTAATTATAGAGTTATTGCCCTTTGTTACTTTTCCATTGCTTTTTTCTTGTCCAGAGCATAACTTTAAAATTACTAGTTGGAATTCAAAACTATTTCATACTATGGTCAAGTATATTGAGAGGAAGTGCAGTGCACAGAAACTGTAATTCTTTTCTTGACTAATTTAAAAGTTTTTGCCCTTTGTTACTTTTTATTGTCCAGTGCATTACTTGAAAATTAATGGTTGGAATTCAATGAAACTTTATACAATGGTCAAGGGCAGTGAGATGAAGTGCAGTGCACAATAACAATAACTCTATTTGGACTAATTACAGTTATTGCTTTTGTTACTTTTTTGTCCAGTGCATAACTTGAAAACTAGTAGTTGGAATTCAATACAACTTCCTACAATGGTCAAGCGCAATGAACGGAAGTGCAGTGTACAATAGCCATAACTCAATCTTCAGTATTTATAGAGTTATTGCCCTTTGTTCCTTTTCCTTGTCTTTCTGGACTTCTTACAGAGTAATCCAATAAAACTTCATCAATGGCCAACCACATTGAAAGGAAATGCAACATACAAGAACCACAACTATCTTTAATTGCCCACAACCATAACTCTGTTTCAATTCTTTACAAGGTATTCTGTTACTAGTAACATCTTCATTTCCAAAGCAGTCTTGCGGGGGGGGGGGTATTAATCACATTTAGTGATAGTTCTAGTTTACTTTGCAATACTAACTGTTACTATGATGTTTTTCACTTGCCCCTCACCATTGTGGGTTCGAATCCCATAAGGGACTTTGAATTCTTTCATGTGAGGAAGCTATCAAGCTAGCTTACTGAACGTTGGTGGTTCTACTCAGGTACCCATTTGTGCCTAAAATAATGCACGGAAGGGCACCTAAGGTCTTCCTCCACCAATAAAGCTGGAACGTCGCAATATGACCTATACTGTGTCGGTGTGACGTAAAACCCAATCAAAACAAAAAACTTAGATATTTTTGGATATAATTTTACAAGAAGTATTGTGTGATAGTATTTGTAAGTGCTAATTTTGTGATTTTTTTTGTAAGTTAATTATAATATTTTTGAATAATGTGATTGTAGACCCACCTGATGTAACCGTGTTGCAGTCAACAACAAATATAACAGAAGGTAACAATTTAACACTGACTTGTGATGCAAAGGGAGTTCCATCAGTCTATCGGTATAACAGTTTAACTCAAACGTGGAATGGAGTTCCTATACCTAACACAAACTCAGAGAAAATTGGCAAACCAAAATATAGTTCACTTTATATACCATCACTACAACTTCAAGACTCTGGTACTTACAGCTGTTTTGTTAACAATGGAGTAAATGCAACTGACTCTACTTCATCTGTTAAAATCAAAGTTAAAGGTAATTGTAATTTTATACTCTGGACAGTTTCAAAAATTGGGATCTTGGAATAACTAACGCCAGTCAATGATGGTGGAATATACTTATAATGTGTATGGATATGTTTCTACAAATATTCGTGCTTCATAGAATTTGTGGATGTGACCTTCGAAAATCATAAATTTGCACAGGGCGCTCAGGTGTTTTCAGTTGCAATTATCTGGTTATGCATTAGAATTTTTTTCCATATATCTTAAATCTGCATGGGTACAAGTTTTCAGGCATTTGCCTGAAGTTCAGGTTTTTTTTGTGCCCCCACTTTAGTGGCGGGCATTTAGATTTACCTTTGTCCGTCCGTCCGTCCTTCCGTCCGTCCGTTCACTTTTGTGTCGCACATAACTCAAAAAGTATTTGACCTAGAGTCATGAAACTTTACAGGACTGTTATCAGCATGTGTAGTTGTGCACCTGGGTATCTTTGTCTAGATAGTTTTTGTATTTATAGAGTTACTGCCCTTGACTAAGTAAAATTTTGCAATTTTCAAGTTGTGTCGCATGTAACTCAAAAAGTATTTGACCTAGAGACATGAAACTTTACAGGAATGTTGATCAGCATGTGTAGTTGTGCACCTGGGTATTTTCATCTAGATATTTTTAGTATTTATAGAGTTACTGCCCTTGACTTAGTAAAATTTTGCAATTTTCAAGTTGTGTCGCATGTAACTCAAAAAGTATTTGACCTACAGTCATTATCCCTCATGTACAGACTCAATCAAACCGAGTCTGCAATTCTTATGTTATTTTGTTGTGATTGATGGTTCCGAGGGATCACTTTGTTTCCAGAATTTTTTACAGGAATGTTGATCAGCATGTGTAGTTGTGCACCTGGGTATTTTTGTCTGGATATTTTTAGTATTTTTAGAGTTATTGCCCTTGACTTAGTAAAATTTTGCAATTTTCAACTTGTGTCGCATGTAAATCAAAAAGGATTTGACCTAGAGTCATTAAATCACACAGTTATTTCCCTTGACTTAGTAAAAACTGTTTCATTATGTTGTTATTTGTTCCTTGAGTGCTTGAGTTAGAATCAACCAACTTTACAGGAATAATGATCAACATCACTGAAATACAGGAATAATGATTCACATCACTGTAAAGCTATGCACCTGGAATTTTGCATGTGGATTTTTTTCAGTTTTGTGAGAGTTATTGCCCTTGACTTACAGTAGTATAAATTTGCAATTTTCCACTTGTTCATGCATAGCTCAAAAAGTATTTCACTTGAAGGCCTGAAAGTTTTCAAGAATGTTGCTCAGCATGTGTACTTATGCAACTTGGGGTTCGCTTGTCAGTATTTGTAAAGTTCTTGCCCTGTACTTTAGTAAAAGATTTTTAGTTTTCAAAAAATATTTGACCTAGAACAGTGGCATGGTGGGGGCACCCGTGTCCTATGGACACATTTCTAGTTTTTCTCTCTAAAGCTCTCTTTTTCTATATAAAACCAATTGAAATAATACTAAATTTAGCATTTTCAGGTTTACTGCTATTTTTAACTTGCATCCATGCACCTGTTATTGAACATTTAAACAAAGTAAAACTGAAGTGGCAAAATGTAACAACCAAAACTATACTAAAATGATGTATTAAATTAAAATTCATATTAGTTCAAACTCAGATATTATAAACAATCTGTATCATCTTAACATTAAGTATTGGTCCTCAATTCTGATACTAGTAACTTCGTCATTTCCTAAGCAGTCTTGCGGGGGTATGAATCACATTTAGTGATAGTTCTAGTTTGATTTTATTCAGGCTTCCTTCATTTAACATCCCTGTGGTGCAGGGGTAACGCGCTCGGTTAAGGTGTGAGAGGTTTGGAGTTCAAATCCCAGTCGAGGCAACTATATTTTTAAAGTGTCTTTTTTTAAGGAAGTAGCCACGATATGCAAGGATAAAGTGTGGCTGTCATAAAAAAATGAACATAAATGATTTTTTGATGCAACTCTAGTCATGCAAAAAATTCCATATGTATCAAACTCAAACTGTTAAGAGTAAAAAATCTAAATGCAGTGCTGCATCTCGGTGCCTTGTAAAATGGATTATAGTAGATAAAAATAAACTTATACAGGAAAATACATACAGATATACAGTACGATTTAGATTGCAAAGATCAGAAAATACCAAGAGCTTGCAGCCCTTTGATTAAAATTTGTCCGGATACTCCTCCTATACCACTAATATAGTTTCAAAGAAACTTTACAGGATTGATTGATAGCTCAAGTACTTGTGCATACTACATGGGTTTTTAGGTTGAATGATTTTTGGCTGAGTTATGGCTATCATGTGGTGACACATGTGACCAATGATAGCTCTTGTCTAAACAAACGCATTAACAAAACATGCATAATACTCTTTAAACAAATCAAAACCCAAACAGCTCATTGGCCTTAACTTACTTTAAGCTAAATTAAATAGCCAATAAAGACCTCTATAAACCTAAAATGATCAATAATCATTTGATAAAATGCACAGTGATAGGGCGTTTGCCACAACTTTTCCGCGCAACGTCAAAATATCATACTTCTGCCCGAGACACCGTATCTTTCTGGACAAAATAGTTATGGCGGGCTAATCGAATTGTAGGAAATAGCTTATAAAATACCTTACTGTTAGACATTGCAAACTTTTTTCAACGTTTTAATTATTTCATCGAATTTTGGAAACATTTCATCGTTAATCTAGCACAACACAATTTGCAGAACATCACATATTTCGAAGAAATAGTGTTTACAAAAGGTCGTGTCGACCTCAACATGACTTGTACTTATCACAAAAACCTGGGCTTTAACGACACTGTGTGTTTTTGCTATGACCTGACGAGCCCGTATATATATAATGGTTAAGCATAACATAAAGTTCCACACAAAAGGGTGTGTTTAAATTGTAAATTTTTTGGAATATGTGATGCAAAAAGTCTAACTGAGATGCATATTGGAGCACCGCACAACACTGAATTCTAACACCGCATTTTTATTCCGTTAGATTGATTATAACTGGCATTGTTTTCTTTTAAAGAAACTAACATATCTACTTACAAATACGTTTTATTTGAAGGAAGACTGTTCACTTTCTCTTTATTTAATAAAATGTTATTTTATGGAAGACTTGAAGGTCAAAATCCAAAATATCAGTTAGATAAGCGCAGTGGTCTCAATAGATTAGTAAGATGATCTTTTAATATATTTTTTTCAAATTTCTTCAAATATATAAACCTAACATGTAAATATCTCTCGTTGATCGACGTTACAGGAAAAAAGAAAAGAAAATAAATGCAGTGATTTAAGGACAAATAATGCGGTGTCCACATTTTACAGTTGTTCAAGTTGTACGGTGCTTAGAGTATGCACGTGGAAACATGAAAATCATACCATATATACAAAAAACAGGTTATTAAAATTGTGTAACTTATTCAAACGATTATAATGTACATATCTATATTGCGTGTTCAATGGTTCATATTAACTAAACGTTCTAGAAATGTTGGGGCAAATTTCATCTGTTTTCTTGTCGTTGCGGTTTTACATCATTTGTATTGACAAGTTACGTGTCTCCGGGAGTTGCGCGGTAAAGTTGTGGTCACGCTCTCCGTTGAATGTATTTACATGTATTGCCTTTAACAATTGGTTTATTCTGCCGTGATGCTGATCCTACGTCGTTAAAGGAAATTCAGAACAAATATTCAATGTTGTTGCATTATGGATAAATGACATAGTTTTTCTGCCTTTTGGAACTTGACTGCTTTACTGTGGTTATTTTTATGTTTCATTTAATCTTTGCTAATGTATTTCTTCGAATTTTAGCACCACCGTAATGAGTCTTGTCAGATGTTCAGGCTTGCCTTGGTACTGCACCGGTTCAATAGATATTCTTTTGTACGTAGCTTAAGTCATGATAATGGTTTCTTCTTTTGCTCAGTTGTTGTTTGAACTCGCTGAAAAACTGTTATCGGGTCTATCTTGTAAGATAAATACAGAAAAAAAACCACTTAATTTTAACCCATTTCTTTGTTTGTACTCCAGGATTTCCTAAAGTTCTCACAGGGCTCCTTACTTTCATCGGAAAAACTGGTGACGAAACAAATGTTAGTATTCAGTTCTACAGTTTTCCGGAAATACAGGATGTGATTTTCAAAAGTTCTGATGACAAGGTAATGAAAAATGACACAACAAAGAAACATATAGTATCACATCATGAGACCGTGGTGAAAGACAAGTTCTATGGAAAAGAGTCAGTATCGGCAGGCAGCATTACGTTTCGTGTTAAGTTCTGATTTTCATTGCTTGGTCTCTGTCTGACCTTTAGCGCAGGCTTGGTATATGAAAATGTATCATTGAGTTTCCCTCTTTGCATAATAGAAGAAGCTTTTATAATATTTTACGTTTCAGCATTGTTATGTTAGAGGCAGAAATCTATTTTTTTATTACCACTGTATTTGCTCTGAGCATATGATGTATTGTATTTAAAGATTATTCATACCTGGAAAAAATCCTACATTTTTTTCTTTTGTGATACTGTTTTTTGAATATTTCAATATTAATGTCATAATCCTTATTGTCCCTACTTTTGCAGAAAGGGGGATAAAAGAAAGGGCTCTTTCTGTTTGTTTTTGCATTTGTCTGTCTGTCAGCCTGTATGTCTTCAATCCTATTTTTTTGTTCCTAACTTGTCTTACATGAGTTGTAAATGAAAGTTTGGCAAAATTTAACATTATAAGAAGCGCTGTCAATTTCCTTGTCAGATGGAAGATAAGTTTGTGTTTTGTCCATTACTCACCTTTACACCTTAATTTAATGAACACTTCATCAATGGTCCATTTTTGCCTCTTTATCAACTTGGTTTAGGATGTTTGTCGTGTTTACATAGCTCATATGGATCAAGGAGTCAAAAAAACATAATTCTTGTTAACCTCAAGGAGGCAGCTGTTTCGCGTCAATATTTCTGGAAATTGATCAAATTTTTTTTTCTGATAATTTCTTGTAGTTCTGTGCTAGGTACATGGTTTGTCAAACTGCCTATAGGAATCTTGTTTACCACCTAGAGCTACTGTCTCAGTCTTAAAATCCGAAAATATGGTAGAATGGTTGTTTTGTGATTTCTAGATCACAGTATAATATGGGTTTCATATGGGTTCATATCTACGATCACGACCAATCATGGAAAACTTTATTATCCAGAGGCTACCGTTTTCTTTCAAATTCTTTGAATTGGTCAGAAGGTTTGATGGCAAAGATTTCTAGTTCAAGATTGAAATAAGGGTCACACTGGTTGAAAAAAGGTCAAACAGCTCTGATATAGAAAAATCTTTGCTAATCCTAGAGAGGCTTACTGTTTCGCTAAAATATCCCTTGTTTCCGATTTTTTACAGGAATGTTGATCAGCATGTGTAAGTTGTGACCTGGGTTATTTTTGTTCTGGATATTTTTTAGTATTTTTAGAGTTATTCCCTTGACTTGACTTAAAACATTGCAATTTTCAACCTTGTGTCTCATGTAACTCAAAAAGTATTTGACCTACAGTCATGAAACTTTACAGGTAATGTTGATCCGCATGTGTAGTTGTGCCTGCTTATTTGTCGGGATTTTATTTAGAAGTTCTCAGAAGTTATTGCCCTTGGACTTTAGTAAAATTTTTGCAATTTTTCAACTTGTGTCGCATGTAACTCAAAAAGGATTTGAACCTAGAGTCATGAAACTTTACAGGAATGTTGATCAGCATGTGTAGTTGTGCACTTGGGTATTTTTGTGTGGATTTATAGAGTATTTTTAGAATTATTGCCCTTGACTTAGTTAAATTTTGCAATTTTCAACTTTTGAAATTTTGCAATTTTCAACTTTTGTCGCATGTAACTCAAAAAGGATTTGGCATAGAGTCATGAAACTTGACAGGAATGTTGATCTGCATGTGTAGTTGTGCATCTGCTTATTTTGTCTGGATTTATTTAGTATTTTTAGAGTTATTGCCCTTGACTTAGATTTTTTTTGCAATTTTCAACTTGTGTCGCATGTAACTCAAAAAGGATTTGACATAGAGTCATTAAACCTTATGGGAAGGTTGCTCATCATATGTAGTTGTGCACCTTGGGTTTCGCTTGTGGATTCATCCAGTATTTGAAGAGTTATTTCCCTTGTCTTAGTAAAAACTGTTTCATTATGTTGTGTTATTTGTTCCTTGAATACTTGAGTTAGGACCAACCAATTTTACAGGAATAATGATCAACATCACTAAATTACAGGAATAATTATCAACATCACTGTGAAGCTATGCACCTGTGACTTTGCATGTGTATTTTGGAGTTATTGCCCTTGACTTACAGTAGTATAAATTTGCAATTTTCAACTTGTTCATGCATAGCTCAAAAAGTATTTGACTTGTAGGCCTGATAGTTTACAAGGATGTTGGTCAGCATGGGTACTTATGCACATTGGGATTTTCTTGTGAATTTATTCAGTATTTGTAAAGTTCTTGCCTTTTATTTTGTTAAAGATTTTTAGTTTTCAACTTGTGGCACATGTAGTCCAAAAAATATTTGATCTAGAGTCATAAAATTGGCAGAACAGTGGCGTCTGGGGGCACCCGTGTCCTATGGATACATTTCTAGTTTTTATTATATTTCATTGATAAATTTATTATTGCATGTGCAAATCTAGAGAGTTATAAAAATGTGCATTTTAAGTCCAGACCCATACCTTAAAGTAATGTGTATTAAATATAAAACTTCCGGTGGGGGACATTGGTCACTCTGTAACAAATTCTTGTACACAGAGGAATTATATTTTGGAGAAAAATATCTTTACAGGTGAACCTTCAATACCAACAGGATTTAACTATGAAAAAATAGATGGTATACACTCATTGTCTTGGGTAAGCGGTTTTAATGGTGGAAACCGTCAAACTTTCATTATTCAGATGTCACTTTCTGACCAAGACAGCTGGCAAAATAGGACATCAATTACTGAAGAGTTGGGTGTGAAGAATTTTATAGTTTATTCTGTTAATATGTCTGATTTAACGCCAGGAACATACAAAGCAAGAATATATGCATGGAATAAGAATGGATATTCGGACTATGTCATCTTAAATGGAACAATTACAATTACAAAACAAGAACCAGGTTAGTATAAAATGCTACATGATGTCTTTTAAAATAACTTTCCTTCACTTAAGTTGCTAAAACTGTTTTGGTCTGTTGAACAAGATGGCTTCAGATCTAAAGATAAAAAAGTTTAAACAGCATCTCCATAACTAACAGTTGGATTTTGATAAATTTTTACAGGAATGATCATCTGATGGTCCCCTTTAAAATTGCTTATTTGGTTCTGGTCTGCTAAACAAGAAGGCTACAAGAGATAAAAGTAGAAAACCTTTAAATAATATATCTCCATCATATTTGTTTGGTAGATTTTAATGACACTGTACAGAAATGATAAAAAGGAAGTTCTTAACAAAATTTGTTCAAATGGTTCCGGTCTGACAAGTCTTATCATGGCTGTTACAGCAAGAAATAGGAAAAGGTGTTAAATGACATCTTATTCTCAATCATCTTATAGATTTTGATGAAACTTTACAAGGATCTCTTAGTTCCTGCAGGTTAGGTCTTTAAAATTGACCCCTGGTGTTGCTTTGAAGTTTGTAATACCCAAGGTTAACCCATTCATGCAATAATGTCCGGGATGTCTGGGAAAGTCCCGGAAAGAAGGTGTCTGTCCCGGAGATGATTTATGTCCAGACAAAATAAATCTAAAATAGTATACTTTGTAGTCAGAAATTTTACATTTTTATGCCCAGAAGGGAGGCATAATATAATCACGCCGTCTGTTTGTCTGTCCATCCGTCTGTCCCACTTCATTTGTGTCCAAACTGTAACTTTGTCATAGTTTAAGGGATTTGAAATACTTTGGCACAAATGTCTACCACATAAAGACGATGCGTTGCGTCCAAGAACCGTGTTCCTACCTCAAAGGTCAAGGTCACACTATCATTTTGAAGTTTCACATTATCGCAATTAGAGTAAACAGGTACACACATTCGTGCCCGGACTGTAACTTTGTCATGCATCAAATGATTTTAAAATAACTAGGCATAAATGTCTACCACATCAAGACGACATGTCGCGACAAAGACCCATGTCTCTACCTACAAGGTCAAGGTCACACTGATAGTTTGAAGGTACTCATTCTCTCGAGAAGAGTTTGAAGATACACATTCATGTCTTGACTGTAACTGTGTCATGCATGGAAGGATTTTAAAATAATTTGGCACAAATGTCTACACATCAAAACAATGTGTCATGCTAAGGTTCATGTTCGTCCTTGTGTCCCCACTTACACAACAATCATGTCCAGACTGTAACTTTGTCATGCATTGAGGGATTTTGAAATAATTTGGCACAAATGTCCAACTCATAACAACATTTTGTCTCGTCCAAGAACCAAGTCCCTTCTTCAAAGGTCAATGTCACACTTATATTTTGAAGGTTCATGCTATCACAGTTAGAGATTACAGGTACAATAATACAAAGAGCAATATTTAGCAATTAGTTACTTTCATTCTCTTTTTATGCCCCCGTCATATAATGACCGAGGCATATAGTGTTACCCTGTTCCTTCATTCCGTCTTTTTGTCATTCTGTCTTTCCGTCATTCTGACATTCCGTCATCATCAGTTTCTGTTCATTATCTTAGTAACGGTTGCACACATTCAACTCAGATTTGACATATGGATATGTCATGAGAAAATACAGGTAAAGTTCGAATTTGGTCATGGTCCAATGATTTTTGGCAGAGTTATGCCACTTACTATGAAAGTAATATGAAATTTTCAGTTTCCATTCATTATCTCCACAACGGTACAACACATTCAACTCAAACTTGACATTTGGATATGTCATGAGAAAATACAGGCCAAGATAGAATTTGGTCATGGTTCGATGATTTATGGCAGTTATATGCTCCTTTTACTTTGAAAATAATATGAAATTTTCATTTTCTGTTCATTATCTCCACAACAGTGCAACACATTCAACTCAAACTTGACAAATGGATATATCATGAGAAAATACAGGTCAAGTTCGAATTTGGTCATGGTTTGATGATTTTTGGCAGAGTTATGCCCCGTTTACTTTGAAAATAAAATAAAATATTCATTTTCCGTTTATTATCTCCACAACAGTACATCACATTCAACTCAAACTTGACATATGGATATGTCATGACAAAAAACAGGTCAAGTTCGAATTTGGTCATGGTTCGATGATTTTTGTCAGAGTTATGCCCCTTTTACTTTGAAAATAAAATGAAATTTTCAGTTTCCGTTTGTTATCTCATCAACGGTACAACACATTCAACTCAAACTTGACCTATGGATATTTCATGAGAAAATACAGGTCAGGTTTGAATTTGGTCATGGTTCGATGATTTTTTGCAGTTATGCCCTGTTTACTTTGAAAATAATATGAAATTTTCAGTTTCCATTCATTATCTCCCCAACGGTACAACACATTCAACTCAAACTTGACATATGGATACGTTAAAGGAATGCGCAGGTCAAGTTCGAATTTGGTCATGTTTCAATGATTTTTTGCAGAGTAATGCCCCTTTCACTTTGAAAATAATATGAAATTTTCAGTTTCTGTTCATTATCTCCCCAACAGTGTTACATATTCAACTCAAATTTTACATATGGATACGTCAAAGAAATGCGCAGGTCATGTTTGCATTTTGTCATGGTTCGATAATGTTTGGCAGAGTAATGCCCCTTTAACTTTAATAAAAGAAATTTTCATTTCATATTCATTATCTCCCCAACAGTCAAACATATTCAGCTCAAATTAAAGATATGGATATGTCATAAGAATGTATTGGTCATTTCGAATTTGGTTATGGTTTGATGATAGCTGACAGAGTTATCCCTCATGAACTTTGAAAAAAAAATCAGAAATTTTAAGTTTCCGTTCATTATCTCCCCAATGGTTGTGCACATTCAACTCAAATTTGAGATATAGATACATCTTAGGAATAAGCAGTTCAAGTTTGAATTTGGTCGAGTTCAATGATTTTGGACAATTTTATCTTTCTTGAATGTTGGAAAAATTTTGAATTTTCAGTTTCAGCACTCATACTTTTGTGGAAATGTATGTAGCCATTATTTTGGCTACAAATATGCAATATGCAATTTACAAAAGGTTAAAACTGAATAATTTCAGTGCCTTGAACATTGTATAAAAATGGTTTGTGTCAACATTGAATAGTTTTAAGGGCTTTGAACTTAAAATGAAAAAAATAATTTGTGCAAACAAATTTAGAACTAAATATTATAACATCTGAAATTTTGGCTGCATGCGGGGGCATCTGTGGCATGATGACACATTTCTAGTCTTTTCATAATACCTGCATGCTTAAGAAACTTTTTCGGGGGCATTTGTCACTTGGGTGACAGCTCTTGTTATGTAATCTTATTAACAAATTTTTATTATAAACTATTTTAGAACGCTAATAACGAATGATTAACCCCTTACAGTATTGCAATGGTGATACTAATTCTTTGATTGGTATATCTATGTTCCCCTTCCAACAAACAATTATCGGCACTAATTTTGATCTGTTAAAATATCAATTGTTTACCCCCTGTGGCTTCCTGGGCAAAGGTGTCATACACTGTAATTAACAACTGGCCAGTATAAATTTAATCCGCATGCAGGCAGATATTAGTGGTCAAACACCGTGGAAATTACCGCTCAATATGAGGTGATGAAATCTTCAGGATTCAGCGAATGTTTCAGGTAAACGACATGGCTAATTGTCCTAACTTAACATAGCTTTATTATAAGCCCGAAAGAATTTCGGACATATTATGTTATAACCCCTGGCGTCCGTCCGTCTGTCCGTCCGTTAGCAATTTGGTTTCCGGAGCATAACTTAAGTTCAATTTGGCCCACAATATTCAAACTTCATAGGATGATTGTCCATATTGGGTAAAAGACCCCTATTGATTTTGGGGTCATAAGGTCAAAGGTCAAGGTCACTATGACCTTAAAACTGAAAACAGTTTCCGGAGCATAACTTAAGTTTCATTTGGCCTACAGTGTTCAAACTTCATAGGATGATTGTCCATATTGGGTAGAAAACCCCTATTGATTTTGGGGTCACAAGGTTAAAGGTCAAGGTAACTATGACCTTAAAACTGAAAACAGTTTCCGAAGCATAACTTAAGTTCCATTTGGCCCACAGTGTTCAAACTTCATAGGATGATTGTCCATATTGGGTAGAAGACCCCTATTGATTTTGGGGTCACAAGGTCAAAGGTCAAGGTCACTATTACTTAGAAATTGAAAACAGTTTCTTGAGCATAACTTAAGTTCCATTTAGCCCACAATATTCAAACTTCATAGGATGATTGTCCATATTGGGTAGAAGACCCCTATTGATTTTGGGGTCACAAGGTCAAGGTCACTATAACCTTAAAACTGAAAACAGTTTTTGGAACATAACTTAAGTATCTTTTGGCCTACTGTATTTAAACTTCATAGTATGATTGTCCATATTGGGTAGAAGACCCCTAATGATTTTGGGGTCACAAGGTCAAAGGTCAAGGTCACTATTACCTTAAAACTGAAAACAGTTTTTGGAACATAACTTAAGTATCTTTTGGCCTACTGTATTTAAACTTCATAGTATGATTGTCCATATTGGGTAAAAGACCCCTATTGATTTTGGGGTCACAAGGTCAAGGTCACTATAACCTTAAAACTGAAAACAGTTTTTGGAACATAACTTAAGTATCTTTTGGCCTACTGTATTTAAACTTCATAGTATGATTGTCCATATTGGGTAGAAGACCCCTAATGATTTTGGGGTCACAAGGTCAAAGGTCAAGGTCACTATTACCTTAGAATTGAAAGCAGTTTCTGGGGCATAACTCAAGTTCCATTTGGACCACAATATTGAAACTTCAAAGGAGGATTGTTATTTGAAGGAGGTAATACTTTATTTAATTCCCATGTTTTACAAATGCTTCATCTTTACTAAAAAAATCACTTTCGGGCATATAATGCTCCACCTAGCGGTGCTCTTGTTCTATTATGTGACTGATTGAATTAACGATGCCTAAATACTTAAAAAAATTAGAAAAACTTTTAATAATTATTGTCGTTTTGTCTTGTTTATGTTGTCATTAAATTTGCAAGTTGTAAATACTGGTAATATAGGTTGTATGCCACTATGTAAATTTATAAAAAATAAGTTTGCTGATCAATGCGCCACCTCCAAATGAAAAGTGTCCCGGAAATGAGTCTAAAAATTATGGCATGTATGCTTAACCAAATTTATATTTCCTGCTTTGGCTCCATATGACCTATACTGAGTTTGTGCATCATAAAACCAAAGAAACAACCAACAGAAATGATTATTTGGCAGTCCTTTTCTAAAGTTGCGAGAATTAGTCTGATCTGCTTAAGAAGATGGCCACCAGAGCTAAAAAAAAGTAAAATGTCTAAACTGCATCTCCTCCTTAACTGTAAGGTTGATTTTGATAAACATAAAAGAATCATCTTAGGATAGCTCCTTTAAAATTTGCTCATTTGGTTTTGAACATGATGGCCACCAGAGCTAAAAATAGAAAAACCTGTAAACAAATTATCTCCTTCTTAACTTTTTGGTAGATTTTGATGAAGTTATACAAGGATGGTCAATGGGTTGTCCTTAAAAAAATTAATCAAATTGTTCCAGTCTGTTGAGCAAGATGGCAGCCAGAGCTAAAATAGGAAAAATGTGTTAAATCAATAATACAATAGATTTTGATGAAATGATCATTTGTCAGTACTTTACTAAATTTGTTGATATTGTTCCTGTTATTATTTTTCATTTTTAGTGGTTAGGTTATGTTACATTTCTTATGATTTTGTCTAAATATAGAACATTCACAGTGATTTTATTGCATAATAACACACACTTTCGGTCCTTTTATGTTCAAAAGGGAAAAGGGCAGGTCGTGTTAGAATATACAAAAATGTAGTTTAATGTCATATAAATATGAGAGATGTCTGGAAAGTTATTAGACAATGCTATAAAGTTATTATAAGCAGTCATATCAATATGGAGATTTTATATTTTGCTTAAGATTTTATTTGCTACATATTTTTAAATTAAAATAAAATGAAATTGTTTTAGAGTAAAAAATGAAGAAGTATTTGAACTTTCCGGATATCAGTCGAATACAAACCTGTGGTGTAGATTATATTGTTCTAGCCATCTCTTTGCACTTCCTCTTTATACTTAATTCCTTGAAATTTTCAATAACTTAATTATTTTATTATTAACTTGTTATTAATCAATATATATTTTTATTATAATATCTGAACATAACAATTTCATGTAGGCCAAACAGGACATGACCTGTCTTTGATTGCATGTTGAGTTATTATTATATTTTGCAGTAATGGAAATAATTCTTGAATAAATCATTAGAAAATGCTATTATGTTGAGCAATTTAAGTGGGACATTGACCTAACAATGACCAAATCATTTCATTTTACTAAAATTGCTGTAACTTTGTCTTTAAGTGAAATAATAGTTAATAGTAATCTATTGTTTAGTATAGTTTGCATACTATTTATTTTTGCGCCCCCACTTTAGGGGGGTGGGGCATTTAGATTTACCCTTGTTTGCTCAGTAATATGACAATCATCACACTGGCCATAGCTTTCACAGAAGCGGTGGATAAAACATGGCCGTTTGCTATTGTCGGTAAGTATATGACTGAATTTTGCTTTATGTTTTAATGTTTTACTGGAAACACTCTGTGAGACTGGAGCCTACATATGTACTTTTTCAACCTATTACACGGACATGGTGCAATTCATTGCCGTTTATGCAAACACTTCTGTACTTCTGTACAGTTTGATGAGGGAACGCCACTTTTGCCTAATTTTGGTTAAAACACATACAAATGTGTGCAAAACGACCCCATAATACAACGGCATCACTACCGTCTCCGTGGTCGAGGGGTTAGAGTCGATGACTTTTAATCCAGTTACCTATCTGGCGTGGGTTGGATCCCCGGGAGATGCTTTGGTAGTTTAGCGCGGAGGAAGGTAGTCTAGTACTGGTGTAACTCTCCAGGAACGATGGTTAGGAAACTACCCGCCTATATGACTGAAATACTGAAAAGGCGTAAAATGAAACAAACAAACAAACAACGGCATCACATCGAATGAATGATACTTCAAAAATTAACCATAATTTTGAAAATTGGGAAATGATTATTGCCTGTTTTTAATAAATGACAAAAAATATTTTCGTCGTAGACGGAGGTGGATTCAATTGCAACGCAGTGCGGTGGGCCCGATACCAATCTATGAGCGAGGTTTGGTGCACCTTTAACCGGTTTAAACTCCCCATCAATATTTATGCTGCTGATTGTTCCAAGGCGGCGCCCCTCTTTGTTCCTCAGATGTTTGTCTATGTTGTTTGATACTGTTTCGGTGACACTTTTGTGTCTCTTGTTGTTTTCTCGTCTACGGTAAGTATCTTCCCCTTTGCCCCAATTTTTTTATTTATTCTATTTATATCCCCTCCCTCCCCGGGTCTCAGGGCACTTTCCCTTGTGCCTTTTGACTTTATGGGCCTAATATTCAATCATTTATTTGTTTTCTTTTAGTTCCTTATCAGTTTCTAATTACTTATTCTTAGGTAGTGGTTTGCCTGCCCGTACTCTGCCTTATGCCCTTCCCTGTTTTTGTTTGGGGTCCTCCTGGGCTCCTTGCCACTGGCTCTTGTTACTGGGTCGGGTGGGGGCTGCGTTCCTTGAACGCAACCTTCCCTTGATGATCTTGTTTATCATATTTTGTATATTTTAAGAGTTTAACTTGACGTGACGAACTTTTCAATTGAGTACGGTCCTTTTCTTACTTTGACATCTGAGAAACATGTTTATTTGATGGCTAAAACGATATTAATTATTATATGTACGCTCGTACAAATATATGTCCGAGGTCCACTTTCATTTTTCTTCCATTGAAAATTACTTAAGCCATAATTATCATAGAATAATCCACGTTCAACCTTGGAATTAAAAAGACCGTAAGTTCCAGGTTCAACATTTTTTGTCATCAAGACATATAAGAGATACTCGTAAAGATAAACAGAACATGCTTCTTGAATACGAAAAACAACCTCAGTTTTTAATGTCACTGTGTTATATTACCATATAGATGTCAAAGTAAAAAATGAGCTGTACTCAATTGAAAAGTGCGTTACGTCAAGTTAAATTCTTAAAATATACAAAAATGGTATCGGTACCCACCGCACTGTGTTTCAATCGAATCCACCGCTGTCTGCGACAAAAACGTTTTTTGTCATTTGTTTTATAAACAGGCAATAATAATTTCCCAATTTTTCAAATTATGGTTAATTTGTGAAAGTATTGTTCATTCGATGTGATGCCGATGTATTATGGGGTCGTTTTGCACACATTTGTATGTGTTTTAATCAAAATTAGGCAAAAGTGGTGTCCCCTCATCAAATTGTTCAGAAGAATTTGCAAAAACGGCAATGAATTGCGAAAGCTATGACCAGTGTGATCATTAAAGGATGTTAAAAAAAACTTTATAGTTTTGGGTCTGTAGGACAGTCAACAAAATGTAAACAAATTATATTTTTAGTTTTATTAACTGCAGCTCATTCAAAAAAGCATCATCACATGAATTTTTTACAGCACAACTTGATAAATGAATGCATTTTATATTTTAGGAGAGGCACCATTTCCAGTTGGTATTGTTGCAGGAGTTGTGTCATCTGTTGTTGCTCTTGGTATTGCTGCTGCAATTGGATTTTTTGTTTTAAGAAGATTAAGAACAAAAGGTAATTTTTTTATGCCCCCACTCGATGGAGGTATGGGGGACATTATTAGGATTTGCACTTCCATGCCTGTGTGCATACATTCCAAGTGTAGGTAACTAGTACTGGTAAACTGCTTGACAGTCTGCCCAGGAACAATGCGGTGGTTGAACTGTGCTCTAGTGAATTCAATGTGGCTTACTGTGGTGATCCGGAGTGAAAACTACCAACACCACATCCATGCTTAATTGAAAAGATAGTATTTAAGAAAAGTAGCCGTAACTGTATTTTAACGTTTAATATAGGTTTGTAATACAGTAAGTACCAAAATTTTTATCTTGAATCAATTATTTATTATGGCATTTGTATCGGAGCATTAGACACATCTGCACATTGACTTTCATTTAAAATGCTGAGTAATGAGACACTCCTGCATTGTGGCAAAATTGTACAGAAACAATAACTACTTCTGTTCCTCTCATTTTGTTGTTGTATTAATGCCGTGGCATAGCATTTTTAGCTCACCTGTCACTTTGTGACTGGGTGAGCTTTTGTAATCGCTTTTCGTCCGGCGTCCGTCCGGCATCCGTAAACTTTTACTTTAAATGACATCTCCTCATCAACCACTAAGCCAATTTCATCCAAACTTCACAGGAATGTTCCTTTGGTGGTCACCTTTAAAAACTGTTCAAAGAATTTAATTCCATGCAGAACTCTGGTTGCCATGGCAACCGAAATCATAAACTTTAAATATCTTCTTCTAAAAAAAACCCAAAGAGCTAGAGCTTAGATATTTGGCATGAAACATCTTCTAGTGAGTGTCTACCAAATTTGTTCAAATAAAAGCCCTGGGGTTAAAATTGGCCCCGCCCAAGGGGGTCATTGATTTTCCCTATATGTATATAGTAAAAACTTAAAAATCTTCTTTTAAAGAACCCAAAGAGCTAGAGCTAAGATATTTAGCATGAAACATTTTCTAATAGATGTCTACCAAGTTTGTTCAAATAAGAGCCCTGGGGTCAAAATTGGCTCCGCCCCAGGGGGTCATTGATTTTCCCTATATGAATATAGTAAAAACTTAAAAAACGTCTTTTAAAGAACCCAAAGAGCTAGAACTAAGATATTTAGCATGAAACATTTTCTAATGGATGTCTACCAAGTTTGTTCAAATAAGAGCCCTGGGGTCAATATTGGCCCCGCCCCAGGGGACATTGATTTTCCTTTTATGTGTATAGCAAAAACTTTAAAATCTTCTTCGAAAAAACCTGAATAGCTAGAGTTTAGATAATAAGCATGAAACATCTTCTAGTAAGTGTCTACAAAGATTGTTCAAATAAAAGCCCTGGGGTCAAAACTGGCCCTGTCCCTAGGGGTGTCATTGTTTTTAAATATATGTGTAAGGAAAAAACTGAAAAAAATCTTCTTTTGAAAAATCTAACCCAACGAGCTAGACCTTTGATGTTTAGCATGAAACATCTTCTAATGGGTGTCTACCAAGTTTGTTCAAATAAAAGCCCTGGGGTTTAAACTGGCCTCGCTCCGGGGACTTCAGGGCCATCATGGCCCTCTTGTTTCACAAATGCAATCTTGTTTCAAATTTGACTCCTGTTAACAACAATGTGATATGCAGAGCCCATGCTGCAGCTGTACTGCTTCAAGGTCATGGTGACAAAGGTTAAATTTCAGACAATTTTATGTCAATGACAATAAAATCTATACTCAATGAAGTACTTTCTTCAATCTTAGCTCATATGATAGCCTTTTAAAATTTGATGCATGGACTTAGATAGAAATTTAAGGCTTAATGATAGTTGGAATATTTGTTTTTAGCTCACTTGAGGTTAATGTCCTCAAGGTGAGCTTTTGTGATGGCCCGTTGTCCATCGTCCGTCCATGCGTGTGTCCGTCCGTACAAACTAGAGCTACATTATTGGGTTTGGTCTATTGTTCTCATAACAATAGATGTCTTTGAAGTCATTCATTCCGTTTCTCTTGTGGGGTTATTTTCTGCATTGTTGGGTTAAAAGGAACAAAAGAAATAACAAAAGAAAACCCCATAATTAATGTAGCTCTGGTAAGAATGTTCGTCCGTGCTTCAACAATTTCTTTACATAACTTCTCCTCCTAAACCACGTGGCCAAATTTGTTGAAACTTTGCAGGGATGTTCCTTGCATAAAGCTCTACCAAAGTTGTTCAAAGATTTAATTTCCATAAAGAACTCTGGTTACCATGGCAACCAAAATATTTTCTTTTAAGAATTTATTTTAAAAATCTTCCTGTAAAAAACCACACGAGCTTGAGCTAAGATATTTGGCACGAAACATCTTCTAGTGAATGTCTACCAAGTTTTTTCAAATAAAAGCCCTAGGGATTAAATTGGCCCCTCCCCGGGGGTCATTGATTTTCCTTTCATGTCTTTAGTGAAAACTTAAAAAATTTCTTGTAAAAAACTGAAAGAGCTAGAACTAAGATATTTGGCATGAAACATCTTCTAGTGGATGGCTACCAAGTTTGTTCAAATAAAATCCCTAGAGTCAAACTTGGCCCCGTTCCGGGGGTCATTGATTTTCCTTATATGTATATATTGAAAACTTAAAAAAATTTCTTGTAAAAAACTGAAAGAGCTTGAACTTAGATATATTGGCATGAAACATCCTCTAGAGGATGTCTACCAAGTTTGTTCATATAAAAGCCCTAGGGTCAAAATTGGCCCTGCCCCGGGGGTCATGGATTTTCCTTACATGTATATAGTGAAAACTTAAAAAAAACTTTCTTGTAAAAAACTGAAAGAGCTAGCGCTTAGATATTTAGCATGAAACATCCTTTAAGTAGATGTCTTCCAAGTGTAGTAAAAAAAGCCCTAGGATCTCAAAATTAGCCCTGCCCCGGGGGTCATTGATTTTCCTGTTATGTAGATAGTGAAAACTTAAAAAAGAATTTTGTAAAAAACCAAAAGAGCTAGAGCTTAGATATTTGGCATGAAACATCTTCTAGTGAAGCCTACCAAGTTTGTTTAAATAAAAGCCTTAGGGTCAAAATTGGCCCTGCCCCAGGGGTCATTGATTTTACTAATTTGTATATAGTGAAAATTAATAAAAAAATTATTGTAAAAAAAACGTCAGAGCTAAAGCTTAGATATTTGGCATGAAACATCTTCTAGTGGATGTCTACCAAGTTTGTTCAAATAAAAGCCCTAGGGTCAAAATTTGCCCTGCCCCGGGGGTCATTGATTTTCCTTAGATGTATATAGTGAAAAAATCTTCTTGTGAACATCCAAAAGAGGTAGAGCTTAGACATAAGGCATGAACCATCTTCTTGTGTATGTCTAAAAAGTTTGTTCAAATAAAAGGCCTAGGGTCGAAATTGACCCTGCCCTGGGGTCATTTTCCCTTATCAGTGTATAGTAAAAACTTTAAAAAATCTTCTGAAAATCCAAAAGCACTAAAGCTAAGATATTTGGCATGAAACATCTTCTAGTGGATGTCTACCATGTTTGTTGAAATAAAAGCCCTAGGGTCAAAAATAACCTGACCCAAGGGAATCGAAGTTGACAGTTCAATCCCCAGCCGGGTCAATGTTTGTTTTCCTTCTCTTTTTCTTTCATCTTTTTATTAGCTCACCTCTCATTTAGTGACAGGCTGAACTATTCAATTACATGGCGGCCACAGCTAAAGTTAGAAAACAACAACATCTAAACTACTGGTTCAATTTTGAAATAAATTTACACACAAATTTCAATGGTGACATAACACAAAATAACTTAGATTAAACTGTCCCTTGTTTTCAAATTGTGCTTCTTGGGTGAAACGGGGCTCCAGTTTGACCTTTTGACCTTTTTCTCAGGTCAGTGATCCAGGGCCCAGAAAGGGCCCTCTTGTTTCTATGAAAGCACTAGTTTGTTTTGGCCACCTTACTGGCCCTCTGACTTTGAAATGAAAATTTCTTTATACAAGATCTGAAATAACAGCTGAATACATTATAGGTGGAAAAATAAACCTGATATGAAGCAAATAATTGTGTGCTGCATAGTTTAGCAAAAATTATTGCCTCATGTCCTTTGTCCATTATTGCGCTTCTTGATATAATTTAGAAATAATTCTTCAGATTAAAATATGTGTATTTTTGTCAATGATAGTCTCTATTCTGTTGGAAGAATTTTAAGTTCTTTTGATATGCTGAAAAAATGTGTTGCCTTTCCTCATTACTTTATCATACATTGTAACACTTGTGATTGTATTTTCAGATGAAAGCCGGTCAAAGTTAAACAGTCGGTAAGTTTATTACTATTGATAAGTGAAATGGAATTTTAGATAGATAGGATGAGGGTTTTGTGAGGATGTATTTAGGAAGCTAGCGCTCATCTTGGAGAATGTCTAAATCAGAAAAAAAAAGTGAAATTTCTCTTTGATTAAAATTAATATTTTGTCAAATTATTTTATGAGAAACGCTGAATATGCATTATAAACAATTTATGTTTAGATATTTCTGAGGAAAAATCCGAAAAATGCTGATTTCAGTAACAGATATTTGTCCACAGCCTTTAATCTCCTGAAGATGAATCTTTGCATATAATGATGTTATCATACATTGTTGGGATCAATACTAAATTCTCTTGGATAAGTACACTTTTGTCAAACCTTTATTGGACTTGTCTGATATAGGCTTTGCAGCAGTGTGAGAATCCAATAGAATCAGCATTGCTCTATAAAAATTAATTTAAAATGGTTTCTTTTAATTTCAATGTTTTAGACATTTTGACAGAACTTTGTAACTTCAAGTGAAATACAGAACTGATACAATTTTTATGCCACCGTAGCATCTGCGATGCGGTGGCATATAGCGATTCACCTGTGTGTGTGTTTGTATGTATGTTTGTGTGTTCTATAGATTATATAGTGAACTTAAAAAATCTTCTTGTGAAAAACCACTAGTCCAATTTCAACCAAACTTGACAGGATTGATCCTTGGGTGAAGGGCTTCAAAACTTGTTCAAAGAATTTCATTCCATGCAGAAATCTGGTTGCCATGGCAACCAAAAGGAATTATGAGAATAAATTTAAAAAATCTTCTTGTAAAGACCCACAAGGCCTAGAGCATAGATATTTTGCGTAAGGCATTGTCTGTTAGACCTCTACCAAGATTGTTGAAATTATAGCCCTTGGGTCAAAATTGGCCCCGCCCCGGGGGTCATTGATTTTCACTATATGTACATATAGTAAAAACTTAAAATACCTTCTGTCTGAAGGTACAAGGCTTAGGGCTTTGATACTTGGTATATGATATTATCTATAGGTACTCTACCAAAGTTGCTCAAATTTTGCTTCTAGTGTCAAGATTAGCCTTGCCCCGGGGGTCATTGGTTTTCCTTATATGTATAAAGTAAAAACTTTAAAAAATCCCCTTCTTGAAATTGACAAAGGTTAGAGGTTGGATATTTTGCATGAAACATAGTGTAGTGAACCTCTAGCAAGATGGTTCAAATTATAGCCCTTGGGTCAAAATTGGTCCGCCCCGTGGGTCATTGATTTTTACTATGTACATATATTAAAAAATTAAAGAATCTTATTTTCTGAAGGTTCAAGGCTTAGAGCTTTGATATTTGGTATATGATATCATCTATAGGTACTCTACCAAAGTTGTTTAAATTTTGCCACTAGTGTCAAAATTAGCCCTGCCCCGGGGGTCATAGGTTTTCCTTATAAGTATATAGTAAAAACTTGAAAAAAATCATCTTCTCTTAATTGACAAAGGCTAGAGGTTAGATATTTTGCATGAAACATTGTGTAGTGAACCTCTAGCAAGATAGTTTAAATTATAGCCCTGGGGTCAAAATTAGCCCCGCCCTGAGGGTCTTTGATTTTCAGTCACTATGTACATATAGTAAAAAATTAAATTTTTGTCTGAAGGTACAAGGCTAAGAGCCTTGTTATTTTGTATATAATATCATTTTTGGGTCCTCTACCAAAGTTGTTTAAATTATGCCCCTAGTGTTAAAATTGCCCTGCCCAGAGGCGATAGTTTTCCTTAAATGTATATAGTAAAAACTTGAAAAATCTTCTTTTGGCATGAGACTTTGTGTAGTGAACCTCTAATAAGATTGTTCAAATTATAGCCCTGGTGTCAAAATTGGTCCCTCCCTGGGGGTCATTGATTTATACTATGAGCATGTAGCAAAAAATTAAAAAATCTTATTGTCTGAAGGTACGAGGCTTAGAGCTTCGATGTTTGCTTTATAATATCATCCATAGGTCCTCTACAAAAGTTGTTCAAATTTTGCCCTTGGTGTCAAAATTGACCCTGCCCGGTGGCATTGAATTTCATTATGTAAACAGAAACTAACACTGCGAAAAAGACATGGATATACGGAAGTGTACGGAATTCCGTATATCGTTAATATACGTGTAAGAATACGGGAAACTTGAAATACGGAGATGTACGGGACCGTATATTATATCAGTCCGTATATGACTAGTATACGAACTCCGTACACTCGTAATATACGGGAAATTTGATGTACGAAGTCCGTATTTTACTAATATACGGAATTTTTATGACAAGTCCGTATATTACTAAAATACGAAATTCCGTATTCGTGCAAATACGGATTCTGTATATAGAAATAGCGAATGATACCGTCAGTGCGACATCCACCTGTAGCATGCAGACGCGGTATTCTAGCTCAATACCGCTGTGTTTGCTTTTTAGCATACATCCGCAGATAAATAGCGAATACTTTACCATTGCGATTGATTACTATTAGATAGTACTTTTTTGTATTTTGCATCTATGGTGAATCATGTTATTTTGTAATTTCTTTTTCATTATCATTATAATATTTTATAATGATGAGCCAAACATGAGAAAATGATAAAGTTGAAATTGTGATGTTTAAAACATGAATTAATTATATTAAAATCGTGAAACTGTGAAGTTGAAATCGTGAAAGTTAAAATAATTGTGAAATCACGAAGATGAAATCGGGATTGTTCACACAACATTTAAATTTTACGTTTATATATGTCACATAATATAACACATGTACTTGCATATGTAAAAAAAAATCAACAATGATATCTCATTCATTCATTCATTCATTCATTCATTCATTCATTCATTCATTCATTCATTCATTGAATCAATCAACCAATCATTCATTCATTTATTCATACATTCATTCATTCATTCATCACTCATTTATTCTTATATTTATTTATTTATTTTTATTTATTTATTTATTTATTTATTTATTTCAGGAAACATAAAGATTTGCGTTTTTGTACACAAGTTTCGAATAGAAATCTTATGAAGTTCCGACTTCCCCAATTTTAATTCTTTTCGCGCGGTCTCATTTATGACATAATATTGTGTAATAGCCACGTGCTGTATTGCGATAATCGAAGCCAATACTGATTAAGCCGGATATTGATCCGGATATTGATCATAAACGCAGCAGGGTATAACGAGTTTCGGTTTTCTCCGATTACGTAAGTTAGCGCAATTGGTGTTGAATGTCTTAACGGTAATTTTTACTGTTAATTTCTAATATAATTCATGTACGAAATAAAGGAATTAAAGTGTGATCTCATAACCGAGTCTCTATATTTTGTCTCATTCGTATACATACATTTCTATGTGATTTTGTTCCAGATATTATAAAGACTATAACCTGACATATTAAAATGAAACAGACATAGCTGCTGTATTCTTTCAAATGTTTTTGCAGCGTCGTGTTGTTGTTATCCTTTTATCTGGCGGAATTCGTAATTTAAACAAGACACAATTAAGTTATTACTATACGTCAAAATTCTTTGGCAGTGTGTAAATCATATCAGTCAGTGATACTGAAGAGTTTTTTGTTCTTAAGAGAAATAACGTTGAGTGTAATGTACTTGGTAAGAGACTTGTAATATTATGTGTACCTACATGAAAAATTTGGCAGGTAGTTTCTTTATCAATCAAATCTATCATCTCCAAACATTTGATGATTGTTAATATAATGTATATATGTTGATGTCATACACCTTTTGTTATTTTGTATGTTTTGTGTCCTCATCGGCTTTAAAGCCTATTTGAATGAAATGTAATAATCTACTGCATAATAGAAACTGGGACATGATATGAATAAAGTCCCAAACAGAACAGTTATTCCATTAGAGCAGATAATGAATTAAAGTTATTTTTTAATATAAATACTGAGCTTTCAACACACATACATTTATTTAATTACAGTTGTCAAACTAAAATATATGATAAATTTTACTATTAATTATCAATCCTTTATTAAAGCAATTTAATATTTTAGAATTTTGACAATTCGACTAAAAAGGAAAAGAAATATAAAAAGTACATTCTCTTGATAAGTTATTTTTTTTAATATTATTTTCATGCTTTACCCGCTTATTGTTGTTATAACAAAAATTTGTGTAATTTATGAATATTCTTAGCGCTTCTAAAACGTCTTTTATTATTATCATAAATATTATTATTATTATTATTATTATTATTATTATTATTATTATTATTATTATCATCATCATCATCATCATCATCATCATCATCATCATCATCATCATCATCATCAATATTATTATTATTAAAACACACATACATTTATTTAATTATAGTTGTCTAACTAAAATATATGATAAATTTTACTATTATTTTTATTATTATTATTATTATTATTATTATTATTATTATTATTATTATTATTATTATTATTATTATTATAAAAAATAAATAACCGATTAAGCATTAGAATCAATGTTTTGCCTATGAAAAAGTATCAATGGTTATGTCATACATGTATGCAAAGTTATCGTTTATGGATACATGATATTTCCTATTTAATATTGCATTATTTTGACTTAGTATGCTGGTTTCTTCCGCATTATCACGGACCTTAATATAAATCCGTGGCATTATTAATGCTAAATGCTTAATTACACAAACGGTATCTAGGCATATCACGCGTTTTCAAAACAGCCAATGAGTTTGAAGCGTTGGTTTTGTATGACGTGAATCCTATCAACCAATCAGAAATAGCGCGGGCGAAATGAAAAAAGAAAAACGCGATTGGAAATGGATGGTTAATAAAATTCAGAATATTGCAAAACAAGGTAGGTTAAAAGTTATTTTTTATCGTTGTAATATCAATATGCGATCAATAGAATTGTTGCATTTTGTGAACAACTGCTTATTTCAGGTTAAACTGATTTGTTTTTAGAAAACTTTAACACTTTTTAAATCTGTTTCGCTATCCAATATGGCCGCCGGATTAGATAATTAAAGCAGGGATATATCCCTAAATTTAGACTGGGAGGTTACGAGTTTGATTTTGATTTCTAAACTGTATCTTGTGGTTTGAAAAATGCAAAAACAACAAAATGAAAAGGGCATTTCTTAAATACGTTAATCATAACTTCCCTTTTGGGTAAGAAAGAGACGTTAAAATTTACGACATTTAAACATCGAAGATGTCAAGGTATTACAGCCCCTGGACATGGTAGTACAAAAGGATTAATCAGTGTGTGTGACACGACCTATGTATGCTTGATTGGTCAACTGAATGGACTTTATAATCTTCAGCGATCTCAATTATCACTTAAAATCAGGGGTGCGAGTCAGTGTGCAATAAATTTAATCAATATAATAACAAAAATTATGAGATTGAACAGATTAACATATTTTAAAAGAAAATTGTTTAGTACTTCTAAAAAATATGTTTATAAATTTTAGATAAAATCGTCTTTCTCAGTCTTGATAATTCAACGAGCAGAATACTTGTTTTATATTCGCAGTTTTTATTTTTTTATACAAATCCCTATTATTTGATGCAAATATAAGTCACTTTAAAGACTCCGCTCTTTTCATTTTTATTCACTTTTTTTAAGTTTCTGTACACATTTTTCTATATATTTCTTATTTATATTAACTATAATTATATAAATGAATACAAATCTGAAACAAAAATAGCAAACAAATATTTATTTTTTCATTTAAATCATTATACATTTAGATGAATAAAAAATGACAATATTTGTCAGAATTTTTTATTTACATTAATACAAAGAATGACAGATAAATATCTGCATGATTGCATGTTATATGACCGACAGGTGTTACGTTTAAAAGTTACGTGTTAATTCACCTTTTACCCTTGGTGTCAAAAGATATGCTTATTTTTACATTGATACGAAGCTTAGTGTCGGTGTAAGAATTTTAAAACTCGTGAATATAAAATATAGCGACGAACCATAAGTTTTAAAACGGTTTTGTTTGTATTGTTTTAGCATATATATAATAATTAGCAAGATCGAGTTTACTCGCCATTCAGGACGGACAACTCTTTTTTTGTTCATTCGATATTCTTGGTTATTTATCTACGTTGTTTAGGATAACCCAGATTTTAAATTGTATATACATGAACTGAGTTTTCAACATTTACATTGGATTTTTTATTGGACAAGTTAAAATTTAAATATTTTTTCTTATTATAATTAAAACACTTTGTTTAGTTTTTAAGATAAACATTACGCATAAGGTGATATCGCATGGGTCAGTCACAAACACGCGCCTGTTTGAGGAAACAGTTATTTAATATTTGTTATACATAAATTTAAACGCTTGAAAAACTGTATAGAGCCTTTGTACATTAGACAATTTTTCGACATTCCATATTTTGACTTATATTTCACATAAAGCGATATGCTGGAACATACGATATAGTACATCCCAGGCGATATGGTAACACACGCACGCACGCACGAACACACAAACATACATAACTACACATGCACATAAATGTGAACACGTTCCTACAGTATTAACACTTTCGCACATGTGATCACTTATGAAATATTTTCAATGTGCTCTTTATCAGTTTATGCTGAAGTTATATTATCATTTTTCAGGACAGTGTACAGCGTGTTTAAATCTTCCAGAAATGCAGCTGTGCCCTCTTTACAGCAATTATAGATGAAGCAAAGTATGGTAGCAAGTAATATAGATGTAAGTTCACGTATATACATTGTTGTATTTTGTGAATAAAATAAGACAATTACACGGACGTACTGTCTGTAAAGAAGAGTTACCCAGACTCATATATTCCCATCCGTACTGACATCATGTGTTTTATTCTTTCTCAAGGCAAAGTCAAATTTCCTTAATTACACGCATTTATTTTGACATGAATGAATGTGGTTAGTTATAAATACATTGGTTCTCTTTTATATCTTGTTGGCGGAATGATGTCACACTTCATAAAATGATGTCAATTAAGGCATATAAGCATTTTGCAGCGCATTTGAAAATGCTAAAACATCCTTGCTTTTAATATGAAAAAATCAAATATATAAAATAGAAGAAACAACTCGAACACACACAATTGTTTGATATAGATGCACTGTGCATGCGACTTTATTTTATTAAATTAGTTTTCTTTTCTTAAACATATTACTGTATCAAAAAATATAACTTTTATATATGAGCCGTGTCATGACAAAACCAACATAATGGGTTTGCGACCAGCATGGATCCAGACCAGCCTGCGCATCCGCGCAGTCTGATCAGGATCCATGCTGTTCGCTATCAGTTGCTTTACTTGTTATAGGGTCTGTATGCGAACAGCATGGATCCTGATCAGACTGCGCGGATGCGCAGGCTGGTCTGGATCCATGCTGGTCGCAAACCCATTATGTTGGTTTTGTCGTGACACGGCTCATATGTTAATGATAGTAATTTTTTTAAGTTACTACGTGCATAAGCGATAAGTAGGCCGCTTTGATAATGTGAGAGTGACTCTACATTTTCTTTTGTGCATGTACACTAAAGTTAACAACCTTTGTCTGAATAGGTAAAACAGGGTTTTCACAAGCGAATATTATGTAAGATAAGAAATAGAATTTGAAATGTCTTGATGGAAAAGTTAGTAAAGTCATTCGAATGTCATACACATTAAATTTTATCACGAGTTCGAGCCTCACAAGTTGTCGCACTTTTTTGCGTTTTTCTTTCCATATATTTTTTTAAAATTTTACATTAAAAAAATGAATTGGGATAGAAAGGTAGTTTTGTTATGATATTTAATAGTTTAGACATACATGCACGGATGATAGTGATTTTTATCCTGTATAGTGTGTAGTTTGTAGTAGTCATAGTACTTTTGCAGTGCAGGAGTATTTCGTGCAAACTTAACTATAGTTGAAACAGTCTGTGTACAGTATCATGCATTCCGTATAAGTTTGCACCAACTTGCTAAATAGGGCTAAATGTAGCTACATTTAAAACAAAATGAGAAGTTAATAGAAAATAGCACAGCATTTATAATCTTTACAATAGATGATACAAAACTTTCATACTTGATTGATAATTATAAAGCAATATTTTTGGGAAAAAGGCGAATCCGAGCCTAGCTGTCTTGCATTGATATTTACCACAACCTTACCTACTGCATTACGCTGAGAGTTGGTAAATTTGTTGATAATTTGTTTTATATAGCTAGCCTGTTTGAAGATAATAAACACAATATGATAGCTGTTTTACACCTGGATAGTGGACTTGACCACCTCGTCACTTAATTATTATACTAAACGCACAGTACTTGTGCGCACGTGAAACATATGGCGTTGATACGTAAATGTTTCACGTGCGCACGTAATACTGTCGCATTCGCATGTAGTAACTAAAATATTTCCTATGTTATTTTATGCAATTGTCACATATGATACATATATTTTATTATCTGAATTTGATTTCATACTATCAGATTAATGCTATAGGCAAGGGAGAATATTTTGATTTATAATTTTTGTGAGAATTATCACTTTATTTTTAGTGATGGCACACTGTAAGAGATTTTATTGTCAACTTACCTAGTTAAACAGTCTTAACAATAAAAAAAATATTAATCTACACTAGTGTCCATTGAAGGTATTCATTCGTTGCTGTGAAGTTGTGATGGAATAGTTTTTGAAAGAATTGAAACTGAAACAAACAATAATTCAAATTTGTTAAGATTTACGTTTTTATATAAATGAGAAGTATAGCTGGGTATTCTGCCTTTTACTTAACTGGATATCATTGTGCAAACACGGATCTACACCTGAGTAGCAAATATCTGTACATTTTAAACCTTTTTTTCCCCAAACGAATTGACTCCTACTAACGATACTAATATACATCGTAAAACGATCAAAAAGATTATGTCAGCACTTTTCCCAATGCAATGTTATTTTGTTTAAATATATTTTAAATCAATAAAATACTCTTTACATAGAACAAAGATACCATTATAATTTATATTACGAGTGTGAAATATATGTATTCGTAAAAGTTTCATAACAAAAACATATAACTTATCATCCGTCATAGATTAATTATTTCATTTAAATCCTGTGTAAATGATTGCTTATAAATGACATCTTTATCCTAATAATATAAATAATTTTGAAATTTGAGTAAGAAAAAAAATTGTATATATGTATACGCTTAAAAAAATGCTTGTGTATAGTCTTTTTGAAAGTTGTGATAACTATTTCATGACATTATTTAAACAGGATTTTAAACTCTCTTCTTTCAGATACACACATGCCGAAGAAGATTGTAATATCTGGAGAAAACATTTCCTACGTCACGAAATAGACACCGTCACACTGGTCTACGTATCATTCCTATAGATGATTGATATATTTAACTGCTTTTAAGAACAGTGTTTGAATGACGAATTTCTGTGAATACGGATTTTTAATTTTAATGATTATTATTAAAACTTTCCGTAATTATCAATTTGTGCTATGGACTCATTTTCCTAAAATAATATGTGAATGTTAACACGAACAAATGATATGAATATCTTTAAAATGTTTTATGGGTGTAATATAAGTGGCTCATATGAATCATTGTTAAGATAAATCGAAAAGAACTTCAAGTTAGCATAGTTTGTTCTAGATTTAAACAACATGCAATTCATAAAGGTTACGGCTTGAAAATATCGAAAAATGTACATGTATAATTCGATCTCTGAAGAAAATATCGCGGTGCGGATGTTCTGCACTGTGATACGTATTTTATGACTCTGTATCGCAACATGCCGGTATATCGCCTTTCCGTTGCAACGCTACATTAATGTGTCCCTCTGGAATAAGGCTTACAACAATATATGACTATTGTAGCGAAGACATGTTTATTTTGTTTTATATATGTATACATATTGAATATATATGTTTATGAAATAATAAATATTTAAGAGTGACTCGATTTGGTTTTTACTTTTAAATTATTATTTGAAATACTTCAATTGTGAAGATAAAGTTTTTAAGCATATGACTACAATTCCCATTCACAATGTGTAATCAAACATGTTCTATTGTACAAGCCTGCATTTCGGTCATGTAAATGCATGCTTTTGATGATATCTGTACCTTCTTTTATCTCGAAAATACAGTTCTGTATACCCTTTGTACAACTAAAAAATGCAATTCCGTATATCCCCTGTATATATAGAAAATACGATTCCGTATATCTTCTGTATATGTAGAAAATACGATTCCGTATATCATCTGTATATGTGGAAAATACGATTCCGTATATCATCTGTATATATGGAAAATACGAGTCCGTATATCATCTGTATATGTAGAATATACGGTTCCGTATATCCTTTGTATACGTAGAAAATACGAGTCCGTATATCCTCTGTATACGTAGAAAATACGGTCCCGTATATCCTTGGTATATTTATAGTATACTAGGGATAACAACCTTGATAAAGTCCGTATACGGGATTTTATTCTCCTTATACCCCAAACATACGAACAAATATACGTACATGTATATAGTGCAAATACGGAATTCCGTATATGCCTGATGCATATACGGACTTCCCGTATACCCGGTGTTCCCTATACGGACTCGTATACTTGGTCCGTATATTCGACAAATACATCCCGTACACGCCCGTATATGTCAAAAATACGGGACCGTATATTCCCGTATATCAGTATATTTTTCGCAGTGTAAAACAAATGTTTTCTTAATTGGAGAAAGAAGCAGCTTATTTGACATGAAATATTATTAGGTGGACCTGTATCAAGATTGTTTGAATTAAACCCTTGGGTCAAAATTTTGCCTTGCCCAAGGGGATATTGACCTACTTTCTTGTCATTTGATGGACAGCCATGAAATTTGGACTATGTGCACAGTTTAGGTGACCTAGAATTTGATGTGACCTACTTTCTTGTCTTTTGGTGTGCAGCCATGTGCACAGATAAAGATGTAAAGTGAACTTTGATATCAGCTGGCATAGTGTCTTACTGTGTTGTCCCTTGATGTACAGTCATGGAATTTTGGCCATGTGAAATATGACCTTCCCCACCAAATTCACTAGACTCTACTGCATTGATAGATTCCTACTCTGATCTTTTATTTGAATAACAATATATTCTAATAGACAATAAAAATTAGATAGGTCAGTGATCTTTGCATTATGGCAATCTTCAATTGTATAGAAACAAAAAAAATTTGTTCTATTGTTACTTTGCACCCCATGCACAGTTTCAGATGTTAAATTGAACAATCTAACACTATCGGATTTTTTCTATATAAACAAAGAGGGCCGGAAGTGTTCATTATTCTACAACAATGCACTTACCATTCTTATTACCTCCCTGTGTATTTTCAAACTGAGACTTTTACGGCGCCATTTTGTTTAAAAAATCTGATAAATAAAAACCTTTCTTTGTCGAATTTTGTTTACGAAACTATCTAGAATGAAAAAAAATGGTCTACCTAAGAAAATGAGTCCGAACACCAATATCTTTAATTCAGTTGTTAATGCTTTACAGATGTTTAAAAGGTTGTGATGTCACAATGTAACGCCAAATGACACATGCAAAAACAAATCAAAATGCTATTTTAATGTCACAAACAAGTTAAATTTCACATTTATTTCACTATTAATATTTTGAATTTCGCTTGAAAAATATAGAGTGAAATAAAATTAACAAAGTTTTATCGACGTTTTCAAAATTCTTTATTCTCAAAATGTTTCTACACACAGTAGATTTAACGACAGTTTTTTTTCTCAATCAATTGGAACAGCCTTTTCTATTGGATTGGAACAGCCTTTTTTATTGGAAACTCTGATTTAACAAATTTAACAGCCAAACATAAAGTCCAACTATATAATAATTTTTTTTTCTTGATTTGTTAGAATGGAAATAGATTGGCCTTTGTGATTATATTACTACGCATTTGAACTCAAACCGTGCATTATTCTACAACAATGCAGTCAGAATTAATATCTATTTCTTATTTGAACATTATGGAAATTATTCATTCTTGGTGAAAACAGGAAGTGTAACTAGACCCCCCTATTGAAGTTTTTTAAAAAAGGAAAAATCTTCTTTTTAAAGATATGTTTAAACTTTTATTTGTGTGCTTTTAAAAAAAGTCAAATACTTGAGCGCTGTCCCACCCAGTGGTGGCTCTTGTTGTGATCTTTGTATCATAGTTATGCTCTGTACTTGCATAAACATGCTTTTATCAAGTGATTTGTATTATTTAGTGGGTATATCTTTTCAACTCATTTGAATGTTTTTTTCACTTTGTGTGTTTATATTTCTTATAGGTCTGGTACAGGTGATGAAGACTCTGATGATGAAGATGAAGGTAATAATTATCTTCCAGTTTTAAGCTTCTAAATCCTAATTAAGAGATTGGCAATTTTGGAAGACAGGTGTTTGTGTGGTCAAGCACCAAACAGGTGGTTTCATGTCATTAAAGAAGTGAAATTGTAATGAAACTTTATACATATCAAGCTTAAGTGGAAATCTAGTTTAGGATTGCTTTTTTACCCACTAGATCATCATTACTGAAAATAGAAAAAAATGGTGTCTAGACTAGAGTTATGAATGATATATTCTAAACAAACTTGATACAAAGCATTATAATATGGAGACTTTGCTTGGATTTTAGTCCCTCAAGGGGCAATGCCACAGTTACTATGTGGGCCTGTCCCACAAAGTCATGGTCATCACTGTAAAACAAAAATATAACACCCAAGCATAAATAACTTAGCACAAGTGTTTCTCTATCTATTTGAAGTTAAATAAGAAAAATATTTCAAGAAAATAAACATAGAAAACATATTACAGCTTTTAATACAGAGGTATGCATATGTGGCCAATAATGCTTCAGTGCTGAGTGAGTCCTTTAGTCATGTTTAAAAAATAAAGGCTATGAAAAATAACAGAATGTTTTGTGAACTTTAAATATCAAGTGTTATAAGAATATTTATTTAAAGTTACGGTGAAAATAAAAAGGAATACTAGTAGTAAAGCTACCATAAACAGCCAAGAACATTGAAAACAGTAGTAAACATCAAACAGTTCTCAGTATCTCAGAAAGTTTAGGTAAACACAATTGTCTTTGCTAAGAATTTCAAAAGACATTTTATGTGTGTCTCCCAGTAGTAGTTTGCTTGACACCAGGCTGTAAACTTAACAGTGACAGAAACATATTAATATAACAAAGCGTAGTCCTGACGTTGGAACATAGGCTCCATTGCTTTACAATGTAGTCTTAAAGTTTGTTCTGTGTAAACAAACAAAACAATATAATATATATGATTTTTTTGCATGTGCCCTCAGCCATGGTATATTTACCAAACATATTGGGGGCGGGGCAATAGGAATTACTTTGTCATGTCCTGTCCCATCTTGGGAAGACATAGTGATAATAATTTAAAACTTGGCATATCAAGCAATATCGCAATTGCAAAGTTGACATTTTCACTATTTCAGTTGCAGATATAAACATTAGAATATTAGTTTTATGACTTCTTGCTCAAGTTCCAATAAAGGTCACCAAGCCTAGAAACCTTGTTCACATTCTAGAGGTAATATTTTCAGCCAAAATATTCTGCACATTTGTCAGAATGGTTGTTTTGATGATTTCTAGCTCTAGTTTAAACACAAATAATGCAGGTCAAAAGCAAGTTCACAGAGACCAAAAAAATTCTTATTATTATAAAGGTCATATTTTTGCCCAAATATCCTGAAATTGGACAGAAAGGTTGTTTGTATGATTTCTAGCTCAAGTTCACATATGGGTCATCTAGGGTAAAAGAGGCAACACAGCCAAAAGCCTTGTTAACACTACAGATGTATTTCTTTTCAACCAAAATATCCTTGATATCTGTTAGAAGATTGAGTTAATAATTTTTATGCTCCCTGAAGGTAAAGCATATAGTCACCGCCTTGTCTGTCCGTCCTTCTGTCTGCTGCCTTGTCTGTCCGTCCGTCTGTCTGTCCTGTCCGTACAAACCCAGAGGTACTTGTGTGACTTAGAAAAATGGATAACGGTACATTTCCTTTGATCCTTTTCATTCCGTTTTCACTTGTGTGTCTTTTTTTAGCTCACCTGTCACAAAGTGACAGGGTGACATTTTGTGATGGCTTTTCGTCCGGCGTCCGTCCGTCGTCCGTCGTCCGTAAACTTTTGCTTCAAATGACATTTCCTCATAAACCACTAAGCCAATTTCATCCAAACTTCTCAGGAATGTTCCTTTGATGGTCACCTTTAAAAATTGTTCAAAGAATTTAATTCCATGCAGAACTCTGGTTGCCATGGCAACCGAAAGAAAAAACTTTAAATATCTTCTTTTAAAGAACCAAAAGAGCTAGAGGTTAGATATTTGGCATGAATTATTTTCTAATGAGTGTCTACCAAGTTTGTTCAAATAAAATCCCTGGGGTTAAAATTGGCCCCGCCCCCAAGGGTAATTGATTTTCCCTATATGCATATAGTAAAATCTTAATAAAAACTTCTTTTAAAGAACACAAAGAGCTAGAGCTTAGATATTTGGCATGAAACATCTTCTAATGAGTGTCTATAAAGTTGTTCAAATAAAAGCCCTTGGGTCAAAATTGGCCCCGCCCCAGGGGGGTCATTGATTTTCCCTATATGCATATAGTAAAAACTTAAATATCTTCTTTTAAAGAACCCAAAGAGCTAGAGCTTAGATATTTGGCATGAAACATCTTCTAGTAAGTGTCTACCAAGTTTGTTCAAATTAATGCCCTGGGGTCAAAATTGGCCCTGCCCCAGGGGGTCATTGATTTTGTCCCTATATGCATATAGTAAAAACTTAAAATATCTTCTTATAAAGAACCCAAAGAGCTAGAGCTAAGATATTTAGCTTGGAAATTCTTCTAATGAGTGTCTACCAAGTTTGTTCAAATAAAAGCCCCGGGGTCAAAATTGGCCCCGCCCCAGGGGGTTATTAATTTTGCTATATGCATATAGTAAAAATTTAAAAAATCTTCTTTTAAAGAACTCAAAGAGCTAGAGCTAAGATAATTAGCATGAAACATGTTCTAATGGGTGTCTACCAAGTTTGTTCAAATAAAAGTCCTGGGGTCAAAATTGGCCCCGCCCCGGGGGGTCATTGATTTTCCTTATATGTGTATAGCAAAAATTAAAAAAATCTTCTTTGAAAAAACTCAAATAGCTAGAGTTGAGATATTAAGCATGAAACATCTTCTAGTGAGTGTCTACAAAGTTTGTTCAAATAAAAAGCCCTGGGGTCAAAATTGGCCCTGCCCCGGGGGCATTGATTTTCCTTATATGTGTAAAGCAAAAATTTAAAAATCTTCTTTTAAAAAACCCAAATAGCTATAGTTTAGATATTAAGCATAAAACATCTTCTAGTTAGTGTCTACAAAGATTGTTCAAATAAATGTCATGGGGTCAAAACTGGCCCTGCCCCAGGGGTGTCATTGTTTTTAACTATATGTGTATAGTAAAAACTTAAAAAATCTTCTTTTAAAAAACCCAATGAGTTAGAGCTTAGATGGTTAGAGAAGGGGCTATATACAGGTGAGCGACCTCTGTTGTTAAGGTATTTACTACAAACATCAAATATATATTTGTTATTATTACACACATGTTGTGTGACAAGGTCTATAACTTTAGTGTATTATTTCCAGAATTTTCCCCCTTGAACTTAGAATTTATGTTAACAACAATAACTTCTTGTCATAACTTTCTTTTATAATTTTGTATTCCTTACTGCGTCCAGTATTTAATAAGTAGTCGAGCTCCTGTGACAGCTCTTGTTATACTTTGAACTTTGTCTGGAACATAACTCTAAAATTATAAGAGATATCAACATGAAACTTTGTAGGTAGATAGATCTCATTGGATGAAAGTGCAGAGCAAAAGAACCATTACTCTGCTCAGCCCTGTTTTTATGCTCCCCGAAAATTTTCAGGGGAGCATATAGTCGCTGGGTTGTCTGTCCGTCCGTCAGTCTGTCCGTACAAACCCAGACGTACTTGTGTGACTTGGAGAACAATGGATAACAGTAAATTCTCTTTGATCCTATTCATTCCGTTTTTACTTGTGTGTCATTTTTTGGCCGGGTTGCACTGGTGCAAATCCGGGTTATAGTATGGTGAATGTTGGGCGGCAGGCGGACGGGCCGTCGCTTTCAGGGAAAAAACTTTCGTAACAGTTTTTTCAGCAACTACTTATCACAGCCTCTTGATATTTGGCATACAGCATTAACATGTGGTCCCATACCGTGGATTCAGGTCTGTCGCTCATCCACTTCCTGTTTGCCGACTTAGTTAGATTTTCTACATTAATGCTCAATGGTAGGAAATTTTCGTAACAGTTTTCTCAGCAACATTTGGAATACAGCATCAACACATGGTCTCATATAGTGGGATTCGATTGCAGGTCTGTCGCTCATCCACTTACTGTTTGCCGACTTAGTTAAATTGTCAACATTAATGGTCAATAGTAAGAAATGTTCGTAACAGTTTTCTCAGCAACTACTTATCACAGCCTTTTGATATTTGGTATACAGCATAAACACATGGTCCCATACATTGGGATTTGATTATAGGTCCGTCGCTCATCCATTTTGTGTTTGCCAACTTAGTTAAATTTTCGACATTAATGCTCAATGGTAGGAAATTTTTGTAACAGTTTCTTCATTAACTACTTATCACAGCCTTTTGATATTTGGTATACAGCATTAACACATGGTCCCATACCGTGGGATTTGAAACTTGAAATTTTATAAGCTCACCTGGGCAATGCTCAGGGTGATCTATTGTGATGGCCCTGTGTCCGTCGTGCGTCGTCGTGCGTCGGGCGTCGTCAAGTTTTGAACATTAACAACATCTCCTCTGAAACCAATGACTGCACATCAACCAAACTTTACAGAAATGATCCTTGGGTGGTCCCCTTTCAAAGTTGTTCAAATGGTTCCAGTCTGTTGCATATGTAGGACATAGGGCCAGAAAAGGATTTCAAAAAACACAAAATTAAAAAATCTTCTTGTCTGAAAGTACATGGGCCAGAGCTTTGATTTTTGGAATATGGTATCATCTATGGGTCCTCTACAAAAGTTGTTCAAATTTTGTCCCTAGTGTCAAAATTGGCCCCGCCCCGGGGTGTCATAGGTTTTTCCTTATACAAAATGTATGTATATAGTAAAATCTAAAAAAAATCTTCTTCTCTGATTTGGCAAAGGCTACAGATTAGATATTTGGCATGAAACATTGTGTAGTAGACCTCTATCAAGATTGTACAAATAATGGCCCTAGGGTCAAAATTGGCCCCGCCCGGGGGGTCATTGATTTTCATTACATACATAT